GAGGCTGCTGCGGCCCTCCAGGCCAGAGAGGGTGGTGGCTCGGCGGGCAGTGTCAGTGGGAATGCAGAAATGGAAGGATCTAAAATATTTTGGAGGTTAAATCAACAAGTTGCTTATGGTCTGATACTTGGATCCCTTTGGAGGTTCTGTCTCCTGCAGCCTCACGGGCTCTAGGCCTCTCCCTGACACGGGGCCCCTAGGAGGGAAGAGCTTGACTTCACTCTTGGACATGGTTCGCTGAAGTGCCGTCCAAGTGGGGATGTGGTGCAGGGAGCGAGTTGCGTGGCTCTGGCCTCCCCGGAGAGCTGTGGACAGGAGGACGCAGGCTGGGGGCAAGTCGCCTAGGGGAAGCTGTAGACAGCGGGGGATGCTCACGGAAGGGGTCGTCAGCCTTCCTGGCGCACTGCAGTCGCTTGGGTATTGGAGAAAAACACCCTGCCCCCAGATGCTGATGTAGTTATTGGAGGCGGGGCATCCAGCGGCCCCCAGACCGTGCTGACGTGAAGCCAGGGGTGGGACCCACTGGGCGAGAGCGCAAGCTGAGACTAGGGGAGGGGCGAGGGCTGCGCAGTTCGGGAAGGATGAGCCCGCCCGGGAGACACTTCAGGGGCGGCTGCAGGGCTATCAGCACAGCTCAGTGCGGCCTCGTGGCGGGAGGAGAGGCCCGCGGTGCCCGCCGCTGCTGAGAAGCCGAATGGACTTCGGATTTAGTGAAGGGGACGTGATTCAGGTACCGCAGTGGGGCCGTGCTAGAGGGAAGCTTGGAACGAAGCTGGGTTGGCGCAGGTTGGGAAATGAGAGAAAGGACGTGGAGGCCGCTAGCATAGGCAGCTGTTAAAGGTGTTTGGAGAGAGCGAGGCAGTGAGGGGCAGAAAAGGTGTGCTATTGCAGCAGCAGCAGTCCCCAACCTTTTTGGCACCAGGGACGGGGTTTCGTGGAATACGAGCGTGGGCTGCGGGTGGGGGGTGGGCAGCGAGGAGGCGGAGCTTAGGTGCGCTTCTTGCTCGCCTGCGGTCGTAGGATGAGGGGGAGGTGCAGGGTGGAGCTCGGGTCCGCTTCGCCCGCTGCCCGGGTCCTAACATAGGCCGCAGACTGGTACCCGTGCGCGGCACTGTTCCCGACAGTCTGGGGACCGATACCAGTGCGTGGCGCCGTCCCCGACAGGCCGCGGACCGGTACCGTTTGTGACACTGTCCCCAAAAGGCCGCGGACCAGTACCCGTGCGCGGCACCGTTTCCGAAAGGCCGCGGACCGATACCCGTGCGCGGCACCGCTTCCGAAAGGCCGCGGACCGGTACCCGTGCGCGGCACCGTTTCCGAAAGGCCGCGGACCGGTACCCGTGCGCGGCACCGTTTCCGAAAGGCCGCGGACCGGTACCCGTGCGCGGCACCGTTTCCGAAAGGCCGCGACCGGTGCGCGGCACCGTTTCCGAAAGGCCGCGGACCGGTACCCGTGCGCGGCACCGTTTCCGAAAGGCCGCGGACCGGTACCCGTGCGCGGCACCGTTTCCGAAAGGCCGCGGACTGGTACCCATTTGCGGTGCCGTTTCCGACAGGCTGTGGACGGGTATCCGTTCGCGGCAGGGCTCCCAGCAGACCGCGGCTCAGTATTAGGATGTTTCGGCTACAAAGAACAGAAGATGGATTGAACTGGTTTAAATGATGACGAAAACGGACCTTATTCTAGAGGTCCAGAAGACGGCAGCTGACAGTGTCGTCGAAGACGTAGGTGTTTTTCCAGTCTGCTGCAGTGACCCAGGCCTCCGGCTGCCATCTCTGTATGTCAGGATGCTGCTGCTGTTCACGCATCAAACTGCGTATATACAGCCTTCAGCAGAAATATGGCTTTGTTGCAATCTTCAAAAAAAAAAACAAAACACCGCATACTGAAAATACAAATTCATAAGTGTATAGGTTGAATTTTTGGAAGACAACTGCCACCAGCATCCAGATCACATCTGCAGCCCCTCCCCCCGCCCCCGCCCCGCAAGCTACTACCCACCTCCTCCCCCAGGATGACTACAATGACTGCCAGCACCATCGGTGATTTTCGCCTGTTTTTGTGCAATAGAAACAGTCGTACAGGGTGTGCTATTTTACTTTTGGCTTTCAGCATTGTTTTTGAGATCCATGTTGTATATAAAGTTATATAAAGTGTTCATCTATTGTATGAATATACCACGTTTTACCCATTCTCTTGTTGATGGGCATTTGGGTAGTGTCGTTATGAACGTACATAATCGCTTCTGTTGAGTATGTAATCAGGGACAGGCTGTGCTTATATAATTCAGCTTTAGCACGTAATTCCCAACGCGTTTGTATCATTTTACACTCCTGCCAGCAGCACGTGAGTCAGTTCCACATCTCCGTTAACACTTATTTTTTGTTACGTCATTTAGCCTTTCTGGTGGGTATGTAATGAGGTAGTGCTGTGATTTTAACTTGCATTTCCTTAAGTTGATGAGTAATATTTAAGGTGAACATCTTTTCATTTGCTAATTGACTACTTGGATTTTCTCTTATTGTTAAGGGCCTGTTAGGATTTTGAGTTGAATGTCTTTATTGTTTTTTTTTAAATTTTGGATATGAGTCATTACTAAATATGAATTGCAAATGTCTTCTTACACTCTGGTTTGCCTTTGTACTCTTGGTGTTTTCACGAACAGGTTACTGATTTTAATAATAGTACAGTTTGCCAATTGTTTCCTTTATGGTTGGCATTTTTTGTTTCTAATCTCTGCCAGCTCAAATGTCACCAAAATGATGTGTTTTTCTAAAATCTTGATTGTTTAACTTTAGTATTTAGATCTGTAGTCCATCTGGAGGTGGTTTCTGTATTTAGTGTGAAGCGGGGTTCAAGATTCATGTGAATGTCTAGTTGATAAAGCCCCATTTGAGAGTACGTTTTCTCTGTGCACTGCATAGTTACCTTTGTCGTGTAGATCAGGGGACTATAGGTAAAGATTTGTTTCTGATTTCTGAATCCTATTGTTGGTCAGCTCATTTATCTTTAGACAGCTTTTTCTTGTTTAAAACCATGTATTTAGCCTTTTGCTGCGTATTGTTATATTGTATAAATTACCTAGTTTTGGTCTTGTAATCTCTTTTTAACCAGGATGAGTCCCCTCAGGTTTCATTGGCTAGCACTAGGTCACATGACTACCCTGTAAGCCAATCAGTGCAAAGGAGAGTGGCTGTTGCCGTGGCTGGATTAAACTACTTAGGAATTATCTCTGAATCTTGTAGTCAGGTAGACACAACAAAAAGCTAGTAATCAGGTAGTGCGGGGGAATAGTTGTTGGGTAGGCTACCAACAGTGTTTTCTTATGGTTAAAGGTACATTTATTTTTGTTTTTTAAAGATGAGAGAAATCTGAGCATATTAAAAGATGATGGGAGGCTGTACAACGGTATGGATGTACCTGATACCACTTGAACTATCCATTTAAAATGGTTGAAATGGTAAATTGTGTGTCATGTGAAGTCACCATAATATGGAGTGGATTCTTTTTTTAAACTCTGAAATGTAGATTATATTCATTTAGAAGCATCGGAACAGATTCTTGAGAGGGGATTGTTAATATACAGGGGAGAGAAGGGAGAATTGATACTGTGAGAGCAGAGGACCCACATGGCAGGGTGGAGAAGCTGGCCACATGCGGAGGAGGAGGAACACCTTTACTGTTTGTTGCAGTAAAGGCAGGGCTCCTTCCGGGTTTGTCCTCGGTAGCAGGACATGTAGAGTTTTCTTTGATGTCTTCAGTTTAGTCTTCGAATGGGAGTGTAGGTCATCTGCTGCTTGAAGGGAGTTTATTGGAAGCTTGAGGACAGGACACCAGATCTGTCCTGAAAATGAGAAGACCATCTCAATCTTAGGAAATGATTCGATATAGTGCGATGGCCGAACAGCGTTGCAGGCCCCTCAGGCTGTGATAGTCACGGGTAACAGTGCTCCCTGCCCGCCCCCCCCCCCCCACCCACGTGGTGTCGCTTTCTCCAGCAACACTTCGCTGCCTAGATACAGGCATGGAGAAAGTAGAAAGAAGCGCTGACCCAGAGGTGGGCCTTGGCCATCGAGCCAGATGTGAACATGAGGACAAAGGTGCATAAAGAATTACTAAGCGTGTGGCCATGAAACGGTGAACCAGGGACTCTCTGGCTGGCTGAAGAAGGAAGTAAAAGGGGAAAGCGGCTAAGTCAGTGCGTTGGGCACCCTGAGGAGGCAGCAGGAATAGTTGAACATGATGGAAAGAACGAGGTTAGACGGGAAAGTCGGGTGCCTAATTTAGTGGTTTTTGAAGTTGGAACAGTTTCAGGCGATAAGTTCTGAGGGCAGGAGGGGGCGGTGGTGAATGGCTGAGCTGGGTGGAGGAGGAGGTCTTAGGAGATAAGCCAGGAAACCTAGTGCTGGACAGTGTACAAGGACTGACTTAGTCCCTTCCTCGGCACAGGAAGAACAACATTGTTATCCCCATCTTAGGTGAGAAAGCAGGCCCTGAGAGGTGAATAACTTTCCAACAGCCCCAATGAGAGTTAGCGGTTGATTGGACTTCACTGTTTCATGTTCCAACTGTCACGCTCTGCCCGCTGTAGCGTGGAAGTGTTGTGTGAAAGATCTGGGAGTTAGATTTCTAGAGATTAGAAGTCTTGCTGACATGCAAAAAAATAGTGCAAAAAACTATACAACTAATAACAAGAAGTTGGGCAGAGGCTAAAATGTAGGTGGGATACATGCTGAGACCTGGAAACATGGAAACATGGAAACATGGAAAGCAGTTATTCCTGGGTAGTTGTGACCGTGACTCTGGGTGACTTTTCCCCTTGTTTTAGTTTTCTGTATTTTCCAAATTTCCTATAATGGATGTATATGGGTTTTTAAAAATTAAAAAAGTAGTTTGTAACTGGATTATATATGGAAAATTCAAAAAGTAAAAGAAATGCAGTGTCATTCCTTTATTAAAATAAAAACGTGAATATTTTACTTCTTATTTTTCTCTTTAGAAATGCTCTTGGTGATGGAAAGAGAGCCACTATTCTAAAGAACAACTGGACAAAGGTAGGTTTCTCTTATATTTTACCTTGGCAAATAATGCCATACAACTTGGTGAAAAATGTGTTCACAGGTTGTAGGTTCGTATGTAAAAATGCTGATAAAATACACAGGGTTCAAGAATGTGACAGGGACTCTTCGGTTCCGTAGGCAGAAAGGAGACGGAGCATAGCAGTGAGGCCACGTGTGTCTGAGGGGGACAGGTCACCCATAGGAATCTTGACTTTGAGGACACCTTACCCATAGAGATACCAACATGTGCACACTGCAGCTCGATTAAAGACCTGACAAACAAAACTTAAAGCTTAGAAGGAACTATAGGAGATGGCATTGTGCATAAATTCTTATACACAAATCAATGGAGAAACATACATTTGACTCTATCAAACTTAAAAAACTTCTGTATGTCAGAACACCCCATGGATGAAATCATCGTCTGGGAGGAGATAATTTATCTCATATATAACTATACAACTGATAGGATTTATATCCAGAATATGCAAAGAACTAAAATTAAAAACCCAGTAGAAATGGGCCAATAAACACGCATTTCACAGAAGACGAATTCTGAATGGGCAATAGAAATAAACTAAGCTCTGTTTCCCAGTAATTAAAGCTGTACAGAGGCAGAAAAATAATACCAGGAGAGCAGATTGGAGCGCCTCTAAACAGACCCACGTATACATGAATAAATAAAGCTACGTGATACCATTGGAGTTCTTCAGATTGGCACTAGTTAACAAGACGAATAGCCCTGCGTGTGGGTGACTGCACCAGCAGGCTCGCTTAATAAATCAGTGGGGCTGAGTTGGGAACAGCCACCTTGGAGAGCCCTACGATGTGCATACGCAGTAATTCCCTACTTCTAAGCGTGAGTGCCCCGCAGATGGTCTCGCCCATGTACAAATGGTGAGATGTGCAGGTTTGGTCATTGAGACACTGTTTTAATGGCACAGAGCTGCAAGTACCTAAATATTCATTAACAAAGCAGTGGATGAATGTGGTTTTTTCACTTGATCCAAGTCGTCACTATGACCTATCTGATCTGTCCTCTGCCTTAAACACCCGTTATTTCTCTGACTTCACTCCTACTACTCTTCCCCTTTCTCACTCCCTTATTGGCTCTGTGTTGGCCCGTTGGCCTTCTTACGGTTCCTTACACGTGCCAGGCTCACAGCCAGCTTGTACTTGCTCTTCCCCATGCCTGGAATGAGAACGCCTTTGCCCAGAGCTTGAGCCAGCTGCCCAGCTCCTCGCTCCCTTGCTTCCTTCCGTGGTTCACTGGAAGTCCTCTTAGTGAGATGTTCCCTGTCCCTTCCTAGACATTGCCTACCCTCCTTCCTGCTTTACCTTGTTTCTCTTAGCATTGAACATTATCAGACATACTACACAGACTGTTTACGGTGTGCTGTTTACAGGGCGCCTCCAATGCATTGTGGGCTCCAGGAAGACAGGCCTTTGTGTTTGGTTTGCTCTCGAATTCGGACTGTGTGGCAAGCTGCCTGGCACGTAGCAGGCACTCAGTAATAAATATTTGTTGATTTAGTGAATGAAGGAATTGACTATTAGGTTGTAGTTGAAATGAGGTAACTAGCTTATCAACATTTATAGATTTAAAAAAAGTGTTGCATATACAAAGGAGTAAAAGCATAATATAGGCTAGAAAAATACTTACCAACTCATGGTGGTATTTGCTTCTGGGCAGTGATAGACAGTAAGATTAGAGGTTTGAGTACAAAGGCAAGTTCAGCCATATTTGTATAGTTTTATTTCTTTCATAAAAGAACCTGAAGCAAATATAACAAAATGTTAACAGAGAATTCTGGCTATTAGTTGTAGTACTCTCTATATTTTTTATTTTTCTAAATTATAAAAATATCTAAATTTCTATTTTAAGTAGAGCTTCATTAAGGCACAGAAAGATACATGTTTCAGACTTCATTCCTGGCCTTTCATAATTTGCTTTTTAACCAGAGTATGTAGAATCATAGAATTTTAGAATCCCCAAATTATGATTCAGGTATTCTAGGAGTGTAAAATTTGGAGAGTGTAAAATTCCCCAGGTGGACTTCTGCATCTAGATTTTGGAGTCACTTTATAAATACCTTATTTTTCAGATGAAAAAATTAAATGTCAGAAAGCTAAAGTGACTTTTGCAAGGTGTCCTTATAAGTAAAAGACAAAACTGGATTAAGGGTGATCAGTTTGCTGCTATTTTTATTATGAGTCATTGTGCTTGAAACAGTCTTTGCTGATCACTGAACCTGCCATTTGGCAGCTGCCCTGTAAATATTTCTAGAAAGAATGGATGATTGAATTTTTAATACTGAAACCCAGACAATGATACCAGTTTCCCAGAGATACCTTTTGCTGTTTCAGTATAGTATCAACTTAGAAAATGATATTTGCCCTGGCCAGTGTGGCTCGGTTGGTTGGAGCATCGTCCCATAAACTGAAAGGTCACAGGTTCAATGCTTGGTCAGGGCACTTGCCTGGGTTGCGGGTTTGGTCCCAGTCAGGGTGTGTACTGGAGACAACCGATCGATGTTCCTCTCTCACATCAGTGTTTCTTTCCCTCTCCCTTTCTCTCTCTTCTTGTCCCTAAAATCAATGAGCATGTCCTTGGGTGAGGATTAAAAAAAAAAAAGTACTATAATTTTTTGAATTACTTTGAGTACTTTATTTAGAATGTTTATCAAACAAAATACTCTTCTTTTTAAGGCTTTGTTTTTTTAGAGCAGTTTTAGATTCACAGCAAAATTAAGAAGAAGGAAGATACAGAGATTTCCCATTAACTCCCCTCTCTCCTACACACATTCTCACCCCCGACAGAGTGGGACATTTGTGGAAATGGATGGACCTACATGAACACATCACAGTGACCCAAAGTCCACAGTTTATCTGCGGATTAGGGAATGTGCTGCCTAAGTGTTGTGCATTCTGTGGTTTGGACAAATTTGTATTGGCATGTATCCACCATTATGGTTCATACAGTCTTTTCACTGCCCTAGAAATCCTCTGATCTCTGCCTCTCCGTCCTTCCCCCACAAACCCCTGGCAACCATTGATCTTTTTACTCTCTTTCTAGTTTCGCTTTTTCTAGAAAATCATGGAGCTGGAATCATACATTATGTAGCCTTTTCAGATTGGCTTCTTTCACTTAGTGATATGCATTTAAATTTCTTCCATGTCTTCTCGTGACTTCATAGCTATTTCCTTTTAATGCTGAATAATATTCCATTGTCTGGATTTACTACAGTTTATTTACCCACTCACCTGTGAAGGACATCTTGGTGGCTTCCAAGTTTTGGCAGTCACGAATAAAGCTGCTCTAAGCATCCATGTGCAGGCTCTGTGTGGATATAAGTTTTCAGCTCCTGTGGGTAAATACCAAGGAATGTGATTGCTGGATCATGTGATAACACTGTGTTTTTTCTAAGAAACTGCCAAAATATCTTCCAGAGTGGCCGTACCTTTTTGCCTTCCCACAACAGTGAATGAGAGTTGTTGCCCCACATCCTCCTCCGTGTTTGGTGGTATCTGTGTCCTGGTTTTGGCCCTTCTGCTAGGGGTGCAGTGGTATCTCTGTTGTTTTAATTTGCATTTCCCTGATGACATACGATGTGAGGCACCTTTTCACATGCTCGTTTGTCACCATGTATCTTGTTTGACGGGATCTCTGTTAAGGTCGTTGGCCCAGTTTTAATTTAGTTGTTTGTGTTCTTTTTGTTGAGTTTTAAGAGTTCTGTATATATTTTGGGTAACAGTCCTTTATCAGCTATGCCTTTTGCAAATATTTTCTCCTGTATTGTGGCTTGTCTTTTCATGTTTTTGACATTGTCTTTCATAGAGCAGCAGCAGTTTTTTATTTTAATCAGGTCCACCTTGTCACCTATTTCTTTTGTGGATCACGCCTTTGGTGTTGCATCTAAAAAGTCATCACCATACCTAAGGTCAGCTAGACTTTCCCCTATGTTATCATGTAGGAATTTTATGGGTTTGCATTTTCCATTTAGGCCTGTGATCCATTTTGCGTTCATTTTTCTGGACGGTATAAAGTCTGGATTTATTTATTTATTTATTTATTTGCATGTAGATGTCTGTTTGTTCCAGCATCATTTGCTGAAAAGACTCTCATTCTTCCATTGTATTGCCTTTGCTCCTTTGTCAAAGATAAGTTGACTGTATTTATGTCGTTTACTCTTTTAATTGGGATGTTTTGTGCTGATTGCAAAAATACCTCTGTAGCTTAAAAATATTGGGTTGGCTAAAAAGTTCATTTGGTTTTTACCAGAAGATGGCTGTAGTAGAGCTTAGTTGTCTTTAACTTCATTTGAAACAATGTTGTTAGATTGCATTGTGACAGCTGTCATATCAATGTACTTTAAAAAAAAAAATCAAAATGGGTGAATTTTTGGGTATCCATTTTAGTGTTGAAGATGGAAGAAAATACACAACATTTTTGGCATATTATGCTTTATTATTTCAAGAAAGGTAAAAATGCAACTGAAGTGCAAAAAAAGATTTGTGCAGTGTATAGAGAAGGTGCTGTGACTGATCAAATGTGTCCAAAGTGGTTTGCGAAGTTTCATGCTGGAGATTTCTTGCTAGATGTTGCTCCATGGTCGTGTAGACCAGTTGAAGTTGATAGCAGTTAAATCGAGACATTAGATGAGAACAATCAGTATTCTACCATGCAGAAGATAGCAGACATACTCAAAATATCCAAAATCAATGAAGTTACTGGTGGGAATTAAAAATGTGTCATTTATTTTACGGAAAAAACCATATGGACTTTTTGTCCAACCCAACACAACTTTTAGTAAGTACTCAAAAAGTTCAGTAACTATATATTTATTTAGGTCATTTGTCACTTGATTTTCCCGGAAGGGAATGCTCATTGAAGGATGAGTTTAAATTCAAAAGCAAAAGTACACTGTCCAAGGTGCAGTCTTTACCTTTATAAGAATCCTTTTACTTTAGAATTACTTTGAGCCTGAGTTTACTGAATCATGTCTACAGGACATCGGCCTATACAGGAAGGTACTCTGTCGATTTCTGTATGAGATCGGACCATTTTTCCCCCCTTTTTTCTAGTTAGAGAAGACTGGTACATTGTAGACTCTCCTAAACATGCTTTCAGGCTTTGGAGGGTGAGTAACTGTATGGTAGAGAGTAAGAATTTTATGGTAGAGCCAACAGGTATTTGTTGACATTTCTGTGTGCATTACCTTTTGATGTTGTTATTTAGAATACAAACCAATAGTTTCACAAATGTTCTCAAGGACCTTTTAATTTTTAGGGGTATATTTGGACTCTCTTGTGAGAGACAAAGCCTAACTCAGCTTTGGCTTAAGTAGAAAAGAGGATTGATTTATTGGTTCATGCAATTTGAAAATTCTAGGGGTTAGCTTCAGGCATGGTTGGATCCAGATCTGTACATGCTTTTCCATGTGTTTCTTAGCTGTGTTTCCCTGTTAGCTTCACTTTCAATCTTTTTCTGTTTCATTTTACCTCGGTTCTACTGCTGTGTGTCCTCAAGTTCTGCAATGTCTAATCTGTGTTTCCACCCAATGTATTTTTCATCTTAAATGTTAGAACTTTTATCTCTAGAATTTCAATTTGGGTATTTCTTCCGTATTGCATGTCTTTACTTATATGTTCAATCTTTCTTTTAGATTCTTTAACGTATGGAATATCTTTGTAATGACTGTTTTAATGTGCTTGTCTACTAATTCTATCATCATTGTCATTTCTGGGTTGTTTCAGTTGATTCATTTTTCTCCTCATTATAGATCTAGATCACATTTTCCTTTTTTTGCATACCTAGTAAGTTTTGATTGGATGCCAGACATTGTGATTTTGCCGGATATTTTTGTATTTCTGTAAATAGTTTTCAGCTGTCTTTTGGGATGCAGTAGTTTCTTGGAAACTGTTTACTCTTTTCGAGTCTTGTTTTAATCTTTGCTAGGTGGGACCCTAGTGGTCCCTTTTGGTCTAGGGCCATGTTTTCTCCATGTCTGAAGCAAAGCTTCTGAGTCCTCTGCTTGATACTCCGTGAATTATGGCGTTTTCCGTCCTGGTGGGGGGCAGGAAGTATTCCGGGTCCTGAGTGGCTGCTGGCTGTTATTTCCTCTTAGCTTTTCAGGTGCTCTCTCCCTGGCAGGGGTAGTTGGCCCACATGCCGTGCCGGTTGGTCCGCAGCCAGACACGAGGGGGGCCCTGTGGCCATCTGGAGTTCTCTGAGCAGCCCTCCCCTCTCTGCTCCTTGGGCCTGTGGACATGGGCTGCGTGGCTTTCCTGCACTCCTGGCTCCGTCTCCTTAACTGAGGCCGCGCTCTCTGCCCGGGTTCCTCCCCCCTGGGCCGAGGCTTGGAGACCCCACGGAGCAGGCTGCAGCGAGTGTGAGTGCGGGGCTTCCTCCGTGTGTTGCCCGTCTCCCTGCTGTTGCTTGACAGCCAGTGTCTTGCAACTCTTTGTTTCATATATGCTGCTCATACATGGTGCTTGTCCTTGAGGCGAGAGGGTAAATCCAGTCCCTGTTCTGCCATCTGGAGCAGAAATGGGAGAGGGTGGGCTCTCCTGGCTTCATTTTGAAAAGACTTACCACGTCGTGGGAGAACCAAAGTGGCTTCCTCAATGACTGTTAATTCTAGTAGAAAGAGAACATCTTCGGCATCTATATCGTGTGCCCGAGGCCTGCCTCAGACTCTCCTTCTTGAGCCATGTGCCCCCGGAGGATCCAGCACTGTGACCGGGGAAGTGGGCGTTTCCTGCGTCACAGCTCTGCCTGTGCTCCACCTTCATCGTGGGGGTGGAGCATGAGGTTGACAGTCCTGTCATTATGCTGTGGAGAAGGGACGTGGTGGCACTGGGGGGGGGGGGGTGGTTGCTGGGCAGATGAACAATAGAGAACTGTTATGTATGTGATAGAGAATGAGATAGTGTCAAAGAAGACCAAGACTTTCTGTTGTAATGGGGTTCGAAAAACCCTCTGAAATACAACTTTAGCAAAGAGATCTGAATAAACTTTCTCAACTGGCAGGAATTATAGTGGTTATTACAGAGGTTAGGGAAAAGGACTCAGTCAAGGATGGGTAAGGTAGAGGGAAATAGGAATGAGTTGTTTTTTTGTTTTTCTTTTTTACAAATTTAAGCAGGTATGGTTTATAATCTATTGTAATTTCCTGTGTTGTGATTTTTTTTTTTTTTAATGCAGTTATGTAAGCTTTCACGTTAACATATGCCTAGGAAATAAGATTTTGGTCTTTTATTGAAAAAAAGATTTTATTTATTAATTTTTGAGAGACAGGAAGGGAGGGAGAGAAACATCAATGTGTGAGAGAGAGAGATCGATCTGTTGCCTCTCGCATGCCCCCAACTGGGGGCCTGGCCTGCAACCCAGGCCTGCGCCCTGACCAGAAATCAAACCAGCGCCCTTTTGATTCTCAGGCCGGCACTCAGTCCGCTGAGCCACACCAGCCAGGGCAGAGTTTTGGTCTTACAGCATACCTGAGAGCTCTCTGTAATCTTCGTGTGCCTTTTAGGAAAAAGCAGAGTTGAACCAAATGCAGTCTGAACTGAATCTTTGATCTGGGCCTAACTCGTCTGGCTAAAAAAAAATTCTCCAGAACTCACAGGCTGGGTTGGTGCACCAGAGCAGGATTATACATGCACGGAGTCTGCACGAACAGAGGTCCTCGTGGTTGTTTCCAGCTTTTCTTAGTGGAAAGCTTATCTTTCCTAAAAAGGTCACTTATTCTGGGTTTCATATTTTCTCAGAGAATCAGGACGTTCTTGTAAAGTGAGTTGTGAAGAGGAAAGAGCTCTGGACCAGAAGACGTAAGATCAGGGCTCTGTGGTTTGCCTCCAAGGCAGGGACATCAGGCCCGCTCCCAGCCTCCTTTCACTTAGAGGTCACTTCTCAAGTGGAGACACTTGTCTAAAATGGGAATTTGGTTTGTGACTCACAAGCTGGAGGAGAGGGGGTTGAGTTAGCCCAGGTGTGGTGATGTTAGCTTTCTAGATTAAAATGTTCATGCATGACACACAAGATTTCTCAAAATGCGTAAAAGGGCCTGGCCAGCCAGGACTGTGGTTCTGGAGCAAAAACAAAAAAGAACAAAAACATCTCAATTAAAAAAAGAAAACTTCATTAAAACACAGAACTCGATCATTGAATTATGAGTATATCAGTGGTTTTTGGATCTTTTCTTTCTGAAAGACAAGAAGTATAGTTAGAGATAAAAGAATTAAAAGCTGATTAAGAGAACCCTGGCTAGGTAGATCAGTTGATTTAGGGCATTGTCCCAATATGCCAGGTTACGGGTTCGATCCCCAGTCAGGGCACATACAAGAATCAACCAAAGAATGAATAAAGAAGTAGAATAGCAAATCTCTCTCTCTCTCTCTCTCTCTCCCTCCCTCCTTCTCTACCTTTCTCTCTCTACCGCCTCCTTCCCTCTCTTTCTTTCTCTCTAAAAAAAAATTAAAAAAAAAAAAAGCCGACTGAGTGATGGATGGAAGATCTAGCCTCATTTACCTCTTATCTGTGCTACATAAACTGACTGCTCTTCCAGCTCTAAAACTGTTGATTTCCAAAGTGTAGGGAATGTAGTGACTTGAAGACTGTTGCTGCCTTGAGGTATTGTGAAAAAAAAAGTACGTTATTTATATGAATGATTTTTATACTTTATTTGGCATTAAAATTATTTCATTCCTTACTAGTAAATATATATAATGAAGGTTGAATTCTTTTCCTTTGGGGGGCATAAAAATCTCTCTTAAGCAAGAATACTGATCTCCAGTCAGTTGTTAAAAATTATGAATACTGTTCGTAACTATTCACTTAGGTCATTTAGGTAATTTTAAATCCTGAGAGGTATTAACACTTTATTTATATTTCATTGCTAGGGTTCTAATCTAACCTTTTGCGTAACTAATCAGATTTCAAGCGAAATATTTTTTCTTCTCTATTTCCTTTAACTTAAGCATATCTTTGAGAAAAATTAAATTTATCTCTTTGGAACAGGGTCATTATCGTTATTGTGCTGCTCTTTCTATGCTGGGGGAGTATGACTGGGCCCTGCAAGCAAACCTTAAAGCTCAAAAACTCTGTAGAAATGACCCTGAGGGAATCAAGGATCTAATTCAGCAGCACGTAAAGTTACAAAAACAGATAGAAGACCTGCAAGGTATTTCACCTCAGATTCTTTCGGTTTCCGTTAATTCCCTTTAAAACTCGAAGGTGGGTTTCTTGGATGAATGGCGGACCATGAATCAATTTTCAGACGATTTGTACTTTCTTTGTTGAGTTATCTTGGTCGAGTCCCTTAGGTTTTTCATTTCTATCTGTATAGAGTTATATCAGTGTTATGTTCCTTTAGGTCATTATAAATGATTTGTATTTTTATTTGAATATTCAGCAACGAATTTTTATATACTCTTGTGTAGAAAAATATGCCCTCTTGAAATCTGAAACTAAATCCTTTTTGAAACAAAATTGTTATAAAATTATTCCCTTTACTATGATAATTATTTCCTGAAGAAAAGCCCCTCCTTTAGAGTTGTTTGATGTTTTTGCACCAAGTTTGTGGCTGATTTTATGTATTTCTCAGGAATTAGCTCTGCAGGCTAGGAATTCTCTAATCCCTTATGCTACACTCTGCATAGGTCTTTCCTGTTTTTTCTCTTTTGGGAATTTAGTGTCTTATGAAGCTGAGTTGAGTGGTTCTCTTTCACTAGCAGATGTCATCCAACATGACATGATTGTAAGACTGTGAGCTCCTCGAAGACAGGTACCATGTCTGACTCACATTTACCATATTTTCCTGTGTAAAATGCACACCTTTTTGCACAAATTTTTGAGAGGAAATAAGGACGCTCATTATACATGGGTTGTACCTGAAATACCTTGTATCTGTTCTTGTGTTTTGTAATTACTTGTTATGTAAAATTTCTTGTACCAAAATATGTTAAAAAAATAAATGCTAAAATTTCTTTATAATACAAAAAAAAACAAGTATCTAAATATAAATAAAAAATTGAGATTGTTTTCCTGAAAGTTTGGGCCAAAAATGTGGGTGTGCAGTATACATGGCAAAATATAGCACATATTGCTGCATCTAGCCAGTGATCCTATCCAATGGGATGTCAGATAAGGCCTGTGTGATAGTTTGTTGACATGATCTTAAACCAAAAGCATCTCAAAATGTAAAATTGCTTAGGTTTACTTTTCAGTTCTCTGAATTTGCAAGTCTTTCAAACATATGCTTTTGTGTTGCCAATGCACTGATTGTTAAGTGTGTGTGTGATTGATTTTTATAGGCGGAACATCATCTAGGAATCCAATTAAAGCCTATTATGAAAGCAGGTGAGTTAATATCAGTTCGATCAGTAGCTTTTACTTGGAAGGGCTTTGCCCTTTGAGTTTAGAAATTGCTGTGTTTGCTGCTTTAGTAGCTAATAGCAACCATAGTAAAGTTGGGGGTGGCAGGTGGTTTTTAACGTGTCCCTCTGCAATGGCCTGTGAATGGCCAAATTCTTTTTGCTGACTGTTTTACTCAATCATTTGCATATGTATTATTGGAGATCAGTAGCCTGAGCCTGTGGGGAAAGGGGTGAAATGTTAATGGGATGCTACTGTGTTTGAAGGGGCCAGTTTTGGCCATTGGGGTCCTGGCAGCAGAGAGCAGGGGCACAGTCTGTGCCTTTTAACCCTTCACCTCTGCCCTGGAAACATCTGCCTCTGGACTCCCACTGCTTTTCAAAGGCTAAGACTCTTCGGGTTGGAAATGGGCAGCGCAGAGACGCAAGGGCGCCCGCAGTAAAGCGAGCAGCATCCAGGGCTCTGTGTTTGCCACTTGGCCCTTCAGTAAGACTCCCCACGTGCCTGAGGTAGTGAGGCTGCTAGATGTTAAAGGAGAGTCACTTATTTTCGTATTAGAAAACAGACTACATTTTTTGAGTTGTTTTTAATGGATTTTTAATACCAAATGTAAAATAAAATTTATGTATAAAGCCCACTCTCAGAGGAGGAGCCCCTTTTTAAAACAAGGTTATCTTGCTTTCAAGGAAAAAAGGCTGTCATTGCTGAAACCTGTTTCTTTGAAGGCTGACTTTTTAAAAATGCATAATAATCAATAGAAGTAAAAAGATTATTCCCTTGATCTCCACTCAGGGCCCACACGCCTAGCTTATCAGCACCTGCTTTTAGTACTTCACTTAACTTCGTGGAGACTGAAAAAGATTCCAGAAAAACCAACCACGAGATGGCAAGCGGCGGTGACGAAAATGCAAAGGTAAAAGCTCAGTTAGAAACTCAGAGTCAAATTATTTCCAGCAGAGCTGCTCTCATATTTTTACAGTAATATTTTGGTGATAATGGAAACTAAGTATTTTGTTAATGTGAACCTTTTTTTGGCCCATTGCTATCAAGAGAATGGTTTTTTAAAGATTTTAGTTATTTATTTTTAGAGAGAAGGGAAGGGAGGGAGAAAGAGAGGGAGAGAAACATCAGTCAGTTGCCCCTCACACGCCCCCGGCCGGGGACCTGGCCCACCACCCAGGCACGTGCCCTCACCAGGAACCGAGCCACGACCTCTGCAGAATGATGCCCACCCACTGCGCTGCGCCGGTCAGGGCGAAAATGAGTCTTTCTAGTAAATAATTGGGCTACTTTCTATAACTACATAAAAATAGTATTTCATTGTCACAGAATGTTTTTTGCCATCATACTATGCATATGCTTTTCAAACTGTTTTTTTCTAAATTTCATTTTACACGTGGATGGTTCTCTTTGTATGCCTTCCCTTCGCGTGTCTCTCAGTCAGTCATTTGGGAAGGAGTGACAGTGGGGTCTGGTGGCCAGATCACCCCGCCCCTTCCAATGCTTCCAGATTTTTCTTTTCCTCTCTTTTCTTTTTTGCCATCTACGTGGCTGCCCGGCACTGTGCCTGCCCGCCCACCCGGTCTGTGCCATGGTGGGCCTGGGAGACAGCCTGCCTCCATCTGCCCAAGGTGTTTCCTTAGCTTCGGTGGCTCCTGAGGGTGGCCTGAGCCCTTGGCTCGTTGCTGCGCTCAGCTGAACAGGGCCTGCTGGCCTCCCAGGGCACCGTGAGGCCCCTAGCCTGGCTCTGGGCTCCGTGTCCCAGAGGGCCTGCCCCTGAGTTTTGTTTGGAACTGCAGTGTACTCAGAACTCGGCATGTGTCACCGAGTCCACATTACTATTTCTCTCCAGGGTCTGAGGTGGGAGAAGGACTATGGTGTTTGGGTTGGATGGGTAGTAGGCATTGGGGGGAACTTTTTCATCTACTGTGTAGTTCGTTTGGTGTTAATACTGAAAATCTCGGAGAGGCTGTGCTCGGTTAGGGAGAGGAGCATAAGGACAGATGTGGTGGCATCGAGTCAGTGCCGGTACTTCCTGAGCGGCTGCCCTGTCTAGCCTCGTGGCAGAAATAGAATTCTCACTTGAGAATGTGTCGTATCATAATCTCTTACCATTAGCTATGATTTTGTTTGTCTGTTCATTTAGGCTTAACCACCTAGGTAATTTTAGGTGCTCGAATAAATTCTATCCTAATCTATTTTATTATTTAGCTATTAGATTCTTAAGGGGTTTTCTTTTTTCTTGGGAAGGCTCACTAATTTTATTTCCATGGGTAGGAGGTGGATGAAGCCTCGAACGGCGATGACTGTGACTGTCCTCCTGAGTATGTGCCTTCGTCAGGTGGGTTCCTTCCTCGTGGAGTGTCGATGGGTTGGTGCAGCGTTGTCTCAGCCTCTGTGCCCCAGAACGCACACCAACAAGCCTCGCTTTTGTTTGCTCTTGTTCTTTTACTTTGCAGTGCTTCTGTGTTAAAACGTGGAATATTTGTTTGAAATCAATACTCAGTCTTTTCATATTATTCAATAAATCTAATTGTGGAGCTCCAAATTAAAGTAATGGAAAGGAAAGGCGAAGCTCTTTTTGGTTTGCTATCTGCTTTCCATTAGGCCAGTGGTTTTCAACTGTCATGTCATTATCTGCCCCCAGTCAAGGGGCCTTTTTAGATTTTTTTCCTCCCTAATTGCTTCACCAGGACACTTACTGTATATCTGTTTATGAACTAGATGTACATCTCTTCTTTGTACATGGGGTGGGAGGGCAAAAGTAGGTTTACAGTTGTGAGTGCATGAAACAGTTTATTCTTGTATTATTTATTATTATTTTTCATGCAAACAACTGTAAACCTACTTTTGCCCCACCCCTATATAAAAAGGTAGATTTTTTTTTTTCCTCTCCCAATAACGAACTTTAACCCCTTTGGGCGTGATGTATGTCCCCTCCATTGAGAGTGGAAGCCTCAGGCCAGTCCTCGTTTATTTTAAATTGTGCTTAGTGCATGTGTTTGTTTACGCATCTGGTCAACAGGCAGGCAAGGCAGGACCTCCCTGACTTCGCGTCTCTGGGGAGTGCAGGCTCCCAGAGAAGCACGGATACTCACGCTGCGTTTGTTTCTCTGTTCCCCTTGATGTGGTCAGATTTTGATAGAAATAATTCTAAAGTGAATTAACATGCTTCCCGCCTTTTAAAACGCAATTTAAAAGAAGTCGTTTTCTTAATGACTAAAGGTTGTGTTACACACAAGTTGTTGGCCTCCATCTCCCACCTGTTCCTTCCAGGGTTCTTACAGGGGGTTGTGACCATCCAACTAGTGACCCCGTTGCCCTCTTTCCCTTTCTCTTGTTTGTTGGTTCTGTTGTTTTCCCTTTAAGGTTTGTGCTGCTCTCTTTTTTCTCTTTTTTCAGCCATTTCTCTTTTCTCAGGCTCCCGTGCCTCATACCCAACTATTTACTACTGGGCATTTCCATTTGGTTAGCACTTGGGCAGAAATTACAAAGAGGAGAAACTCAGGTGATTGTAACTCTAATAGCACCTGAAAAATCTTTGAGATAAAACTTCTTTTTGGAGAACATTTTTTAATATATCGGTATTTCTCAGGCCTCATCACCAGGTAATACATTTAAATAAATAAATACCATCCACACTTCAGCATCTACATTCAGTCCAAGAAATTGAGGTCCTAAGGTTAGGGTTAAGTAGTTCACACACAGCAGAAATCAAACTGGGACTCTTCTGCTTTTCTAGAAGCTTCTTTTGTTTTCTGAGGCCACCAAAACGAGCTCACACCTCAGACTCTCATTCGGTCCTTAATGCGTGGGCTGTGACTCGCATGTGCCGTCTCTCCCCAAAGTGTCCACCAAATTTACCCGCCGCTGTTGCTGCTCTCCCTCCTACCCGCCTGGCACGGCTGCCTCCTGCCCAGAGGACACGTGGGCCCCTCCTGCCAGGGCACAGGGGCCGAGCTCGCGGGGCCGGCGGAGTGGAAGCACCGGGACGGTCACATCCCCCGACCTGCCCGAGCGGCCCCTGGCCAGCCTCTGTCCTCACCAGACTCGCCAGGTCGCGTGGGCCAACCGAGTGTTTCTTAAAAGGCGCTCCACTCTCGGGTTTGGCCCGTTCTGTCTGAATCCTGCCTGTTCCTTCAGCTAAACACAAAAGCTGCGTCCCCACGAAGGCTGTCCGGGCCCCTCCAGGCCGGGTGGTCTCTCCCTCCTGTGAGTTCTGAGAGCAGTTAACTCTGAAGTTAACTTGTCGAAACAGCAGGGTATCTTTCTTTCTTCTCAATGGCGATTGTTGTTTAATAATTGCAGGGACTGTGTCTTCGTCCCACCTGATTGTAAGCTGCCTGAGAGTAGAAACTGGAGCCTGTCGCTGCGTCTGCTCCAGGTCCAGGTGGCAATAGTCCTAACTTCGTAGCCTACGCAGGCAGCTGTCCCCAGCGGGTTCTTCCTTGGCTGGTCTGTTTGTAGCTGTGCTCACAACACTGCTTCCTTTGCTTCCTTATTCAGTTTACATGTTTTTAAAATTATTTTACTTTCAAGCTCATAGATTTTTATGTCCAGATTTCAGGAACAAATACTTTTGTATTCACAGGTCAGTCTTCGAGACATAAAGGAAAACAAAAATCCCGAAACAATGAATCGGAGTTCAGGTACGTTTTTTTATCTAAAGTTTTTGGTTTCCCCCCCTAATGTCCTCCTTCCAAGAAAAACAAAAAGAAAAAAATATTTTCCAAGTAGTGGATACCTTTACATATGTGTATTATGTTAAATACTAAAATCCCTTTCAAATAGTTATGGCATGTTTTTCACAGAGGGTCATTTATGAATAAAGTATTATGAATCCTGGATGTTAATACTGATTTCTGAAAGTCATATCATGTATTTATTAGAATTAATTTTTTCAAGATTTTATTTTTTACTTACTTATTTTTAGAGAGAGGGGAAGGGAAGGAGAAGAGAGGGAGAGAAAAACATCACTGTGTGGCTGCCTCTCATGTGCCCCCTACTGGGGCCCTGGCCCCCAACCCAAGCACGTGCCCTGACTGGGAATTAAACTGGCAACACTTTGCTTCGCAGTCAGGTGCTCAATCCACTGAGTCACATCAGCCAGGACTACTGGTATTAATTTTTTTTAATTTGAAAATATGTTCATACCCTGACCAGTGTGGCTCAGTTGGTTGAGCATCATCCCACAAAGTGAAAGGTCACTGGTTCAATTCCCGGTCAGAGCACATGCGTGGGTTGCGGGCTTGGTCCTGGTTGGGTGCATATAAGAGGCAGCTAATCGATGTTTCCTTTCACATCAGTGTGTGTCTCCCTTCCCCTCTCTCTAAAAATAAGTAAATAAAGTTAAAAAAAAATACATGTTTATAAGAGGAAAAAATAGTCAAAGAAGTATGAAATGGAAATCAGCCTCCTTCCTGCTCACCTCATCCTGCTCTTCACAGCCTGTTGGCCAGCTGGCAGCTGGCTCTGCCTGCGCCGGCTCAGGCGCGGGGTCCGAAGCAAGTGTTGGCTGAGGAACCAGCCTGCGCTTGCACAGTGAACCCCACCGCACACCCCCTGCAACTAACGGCAGCGCGAGCTCCTGCCGCTGTCTGTTCACCCCCGACGCCTGGACGGGTGGGAGTCGATCGCCGCCTGGACCTGTCGATCGCTGCGCGGGCGCGGGCGCGGCTGGTGAGAGGGGTGCTGGAGAAGGCGCCGGGCCGTCCCGCCGCAGCCGCCCCAGTGTCCGCTTTCCCTTCGTGCCCCGAGGCTGGCTCCTTGGCAGGGGGGGGATACCGAGGCGCTGTAGGAGAAATGAGGAAAGCCCCACTTAAAAAAATGACCATTTTTCAACGCTGCTACAAAATAAACACAAAGTAAGGGCGTAGAATCGTATGTAATTCTATTATTTCATAGAGAAATCCTGAGTCTTCGTCTTCCCCTTGTGCCCGCCCCCCCAGGAGAAGCCAAAACCAAATATATGTTCGTACTTTTAATGGATAGTTATAATTTTGACCTGTTTTGTTAAAGATAGATTTGTTTCCCTGGTGCAGTGTTTCTGTTTTCAAACTGAAGACTTCTTGTTTGGTTGTCTGTCTCACGGGGTTATTTAATGGTGAAGTGGGACAGCCACACAAAACACGTAGAAACCCGGAAGGCGGCGCGTGCTTGACACACAGGAGCTGTCGCGGTGGGTATCACTGTCACTCTGACTGTTGGCAGAGCCGTTCTGGTCGACAGCCCGCTTTCCTCTCTCTCTGAGTGCCTTACGTACCTTCCCACATCAGACCATGGAGTGCTGCAGCCTTCGTGTTCACGGCTGTAGGGTACTTTATAGTCTAGGTGTCTATCTGGAGAAATTTCTAGAGTGGAATTGCTCTGTCGGAGGGGATGTGTCATTTTCACTCTGATAGGTATTGTCAAAATGTCCTCCCAGAAAATGGTCCCTGTGGGCACTCTTCCTGGCTGTGAAAGGGTGCAGTATATTGTGAAGTACATGTTCGTTCTCTGTCCCGGGTCCCTGGCCCAGAGCTCCTAAAGCCCTTGGAGTTTCCTGAGTGATACGAGTGTCTTCTGTTACTCATAATGAGCCCCTCTCCACTCTGCTTGAGTTTATACCAAGGAGGTGACTCAAGGCTGGGGCCCTGTCTTCAGGATTGGGACAGGTCACCAGGAAGACCAAGTATGCCATCGCCCGATTGGCTCTTTCAGCCCCACCCCGGTCTGAGAAATTTGGGAAGGGGGCTGGAAATCTGGTGCCCTCACCAATGCCCAGTAATTTAATCCTTCGTGCCTGTGTTATGGAACCCCAATAAAAATCTCTAGGCACTGGGCTCGGGGAGCTTCTGGGTGGGCGAGGACATTGTGGTGCCGGGAAGGTGGCCGCTCGGGGACGGCCTAACAGCTGTGCGTCGCCCCGCTCCCCCCGCCCCTTCCAACATGCCGCTTTCTTCCTACTTGTATGAGTTATGTCCTTTATAACAAACCAGTGTAGTACGTATAACGCTTTCCTGAGTTTTGAGACATTCTAGGGAACTGTCGAACCTGAACCAGGGTCACGGAAAGCCCTGCGTGTGTCGCCAGCCCGTGGGAGTGTGGGTGGCCTGGGCACCCTGGCGTGGCTGGTCTGAAGCGAAGGCAGTGTTGTCGGACTGGGCCTTTAACCCGAGGGACCGGCCTGGGCTCCAGAGGTAACACCGGAGCCGAACTGAATTGTCAGACACCCAGCTGGTGTTGGAGAATTGGTGGGGACAGTGGGATGTGTTTGGTGTCAGAAAACAGCAAGAGCACCTGACCCTTGCTTACCCTCACCAGCAGTGGAGTTAGGCTTTCGGAAATGGTTGTGTCTTAATGTTCAGTTTTCCCCCTAAATGGAGCATCGCAGTGTTTACTGGCCACATTTCTTGTTTCAGGCTCTGTCGTAATTGATGACTGTAGATTTGGAATAACTTTGGATGATCAGTGCAAATTCCCCTTAGTTTCTTTCTTTTTCAAAAGCGGTTCTTCATATCTTTATAATTAATTCAGCTGGGCCCCCCCCACCTCTAATTTTATAGGGATTTTTATTGAAATTTCACTGGATTTAAAGATTAATTTGGGGAGAAATGATATTGTAGTAATATTTCAGTTCAGGAGCTTATGACTCTCCATTTACTCAGTGTTTGAAATGACCTTCAATAAACATAGTTTTTCTCGTATAAGTAGACTGGTTTATTTTAAAATAATTCAAAACGATACTTTTCTTTCTTAATTCTAGTTCACAAGGGAATTTACCAGCAGATTTGAAAACCTTTTTGGAGAAAGAGTTTTCTAAATCTTCCAGAGCTGCGCACCAGGTAGGGAAAGGGCTTTTCTGGTGGAAAAAGCAAACTCTGGGAACAAAACTTTCATAAGAATTAAGTGTAATCATGTATATCTTTAAGATTTTTTAAATAATTTTAGTTATGGACATGTAATTTATGATTGCTAACAACCAGCTTATTACTAATTTAGATACTAACTCTTTAATTATGTTAACGGGAGATTTAACTAACCATTAACATTGCAGAATTGTTTGCGTCTCACAGGGTTAACAGGAAGATTTTTTTTGGCAGGATTTTGCTAACATAATGAAAATGCTGAGGAGCTTGATTCAGGACGGCTACACCGCTCTGCTGGAGCAGCGGTGCCGGAGCGCTGCCCAGGCCTTCTCGGAGCTGCTCAACAACCTGGACCCTCAGAAGATAAAGGTGGGGTTGCCGCCTCCTGCCCCGTTCATCCGCACGCATGCACCTCTCTCTAACGCCTCACTGGTGCCGATGCGCTCCGGAGGCGGAGGAGAGCCAGGGCCTGGTAACTCCACTGTAACCGGCACGCCTCGGACCCTGCCCAGACGGCCCGAATCTCCGGGCTGTGAGAGGCCGGCCGCACGCCCACCTGGCCTTCATGCCCGCAGGCGGTGTGGCCCAGGTTCAGGTTCTGTCCTCGCTCTCTGGAACTCCTGGCCTTCCCTCTCTTTGGAGCAAGGATTTGGACTCATTTTAGTCACATCTTTTCATTCAGAAAGAATTACCTAGGTGAATAAATAGTTTCTGCAGGGTTGTAAGAGAGCAAGTGTTTTCACGTCGCTAGTGCCCACTTACATGCGAAAGAGACCAGCTTCCGTTAGGCTGATCTGTTATGAACTGTGCCTTTAGGAACTCTGAGACAGTGAGTCTGTGTTTTAAATACTTGACAGCAATGTATCTTAGTGGAAAGATATTTTCTCATTCTGTTTGGCCTTTATTGCAATCATTGTGATTAGTGAGATTTTATTACACTTTTTCTGTTGTGGCTAACAGGTTGGTATGATACAGATTGGGCAGAGTTATCTTAAGATTTGTAACTGGCACATTTTTATTGACAGCAATTGAACCTGGCCATGATTAACTATGTCTTGGTGGTCTACGGATTTGCGATTTCCCTCCTGGGAATAGGACAGCCTCAGGTAAGTTTTGTAGCAGAGGTAATAAACAACTTGAGTAAGCCATTGATTTTAGAAGATGTGTAAATTAGTTTTTCCATTTTGGTTTATCTTCACTTGAGTACTTCCTTGATAATTTTTTCTGAAATTCCTACATTTTTATTTATTTTGTGTTGTATTTTTTTGGAAAGAAAATTCAGTTTGTGTTTCCATTAGAAAAAAGTTACGTCTGACAGCCAGTGGGAATCTACTTTGTATTTATACGAAAATTAAAGGACCTCATGTATCAGGATAGATTTCAGAAACATGTTGAGGGTGGGAAAGGCACATTGGAGTACATACCAAACATGTGATACCACTTATGTACTATTTTGAAAACATACATCATAATGATGTATATTATTTATGGCTGTCTGTGTGCATCTTATAAAAGTTAAAAACGTGAACTTACCCTACATCAAATTTAAGGTAATGGTTCCATTTAGTGATGGAAGAAATATGGGCCTGGGGAGGTTAGGAAAGGGAATTTGATGTTGTTTTATTTTTTTAAAAGACTAAAGTAAAAACGATGATATCTCTTTGTTCTGGGTGGTGAGTACTTAGTATTTTCTTATTTTCCAGATTGCAGTCTTTCCTTAACCATACAGTTACGCTTTGCTTTCCATGGTTTTGCCATGGTTTTGAGTTTTTGATTAAGGTTGAAATGGCTCTAGAATTACCTCGGTATGATATATTCTTGCTACCAACTTGGGCCCCAAGCTTCCCCAGCTAGATAAAGGCTGAATGATACCTGCCGAGCATCAAGCCATTTTTTCACGTTCACTCTCCCAGCGGTCCTCAGTGCCTGAGGTTCATTTTCCTTGTGACTTGACTCTTTCCTTGGTTTGGACGTCTTTCATTAAGACCTATTTTTTAGATTGTTGGAGACAAAGTTCATGATCTCATTTCTTTTATTCATGGCACAGTAATAATAAATGTGTTATGTTTTGCTTATTGGAATTGAAGAGAGAGTTTATTACATTTGGGATTTACTCTGACGTTGTGAGACGAATTAAAGAAAAAAATTACGGGTATGATAGAACTGGAACCTTTAAAAGAATTTCATCATTCAGAGTAGTAGCCCCAGAAGGAAGCAGTGTATTTACTCCCGTACAGCGCTTGCTGGGACCAGTCTAGGAGCGTCTCCTTTGGGACTGGCCTCTGAGCTTCAGGGGGACCCCCTTTTGTAGTTACATTTCCTTTTCCACCCATGATGGGGTTATAGCCGTATTGCCTAGAGCTAAGTGTCTTCGGGTTTTTTTCAAAACAAAATTCATGGAAAGCACAGAGGTTTCCACAGTTGAGAATATTCAGAAGAATATACGCCGAGCTCTGTGAAGCTGTTGTTGAAGAGCTGTTTTTAAGGTTGAGCATTTATCAGCCTTACGCCGCAAGTCACGGAGACGTCCTTGGCGTGCCCGCGGTCCAGCGCCGCCAGGCAGCAGCCCCGGCGGGCGTGGTGGGGTCTGGGCGTCCAGACCAGTCCTTCTGCCCTGAAGCCGCGGCGGGTGGTGGTCACGCCTCGCGGTGTGTCAGTGGTGCTCCTGTGCTTGGTGGTTTGATGTGGTCAGTGGCGGCTTCTCATTCTGGGGCTGGGACTCTTCGGTTGTGAGTGCTTGTATGGTCAATACATACACAATGGATGAGAAAATGAAATGGAAAAGGTACAATTTTGCCATCGAAATTTTGGGCAGATACTCGTTTTTAATGTAACACGCCAAAAAAATCACCCTTCCGATAAAACTGCTTCCAGCATTTCTTTTGTGTCGGTGACCATTGTTCTTATTGCTATTGAAGGAATTATCTGAAGCTGAGAGCCAGTTTAAGAGGATGATTGAGCACTACCCCAATGAGGGCCTTGATTGCCTGGCCTACTGTGGAATTGGAAAAGTGTACCTGAAAAAGAACAGGTTTGTAGAAGCCATTTTAGTTTATGTTCCAGGCTGGTAATTCGTTCGGAGTCTAATGTGGGATGAGCCTTTGTCTGGAATTATTTCGATATCTTATCGGTGGTACACTGTTATAATTATGTTTATTTGAGGACTGGCATTTCATAATATTAAAGTAAGAGGAGTTGTATCACTTCTAATGCTAATAAGTTCAGTAAGAGACTAATTCGATGCAAAGGGCTTTATATTTTATCTTTTGGGATGTGTCATTTTAAATGGTGACTGAATGGATATAAATTGATATAAACAAGTCTGATTGTTTAACTTTTTGGTTAAATATCTATTTGCCAAAAAAACTAAGATTGTCTTAATACGAGGTACATGTATATTCAAAGACATCATGAGTTAGGAATAGAAATCTCTTCTGAATTTCTCTTACAGTTGGAATCCTTACTCAAGGTTTAGTTTGTAGCTGTTCCCTAAATTTTCCATGCCTTAGCTCCCTAAATTGCTACATGAACCTTAGAGGACAGGATTATGCTTTGAGCTTTAAAAAATACCTCCCTATTTCTGCCGCTTGTATCCAGTATGATGTAGATATGTTTCATTACTTTGTAAAGAAGTGTTGAATGATTGAATATCATTTATAACTTTTAGTTATCTTCAGTTTTTATCTAACTTTTTAGGGGAAATTTTATCAGACTGTTGCTCTTCTTGGGAACCCAATCTTAGAGTGTTCCTAGATTTTTAAAGATTGAAGAAAGTTCTGTTATTTCCCACAGTTACTGTTTGGACAGGCTAAACTATATTAAGAATCCGGTAGAGGCAAGAGAAGTATGGGCTTAGCAATCTGAGTAGCAATAGCAAAGGAAGTTAATTTCAAAGTTTGGTGTAAGGAACCTAGGGTGTACCTGTGTAATGGAATGGTCACACGCAGATATTCTTAAGGTCTGGGAAGATAACATACATGTGCAAAATCATTGGGATTGTGGTAAAAAAAAAAGAGTCTGCCATGTTGAAGGAATTTAAATTTTAGTTTCAAAATACTATATGGGGTTCAATGTCTAATGTGCTGTTCTTTGCCATTGTGATGTGCAGTTTCTCGTTTAAAGACCTGCTGTTTACAGCTTTCTAGGTGGTGGATGGTGATGTGGCATTACAGGCAAAATTAAGCTTTTAAATTGGGGAATTATTTTAAGATTGGAGAAAGAGGGAAAAAACCCTCTCTTCTCCACTCTGAAGAGAAGAATAAAGACTTAGTTAACTTATACTACAATATTTTAGTATCTTTTGTTGAATGGACTGTGAGAATCCATTGACATTCTTTGAAAACCATAAATCCAATTGGATTAAAACATTTTATAGTTATAGTTAAAAATTTACATACACATTTATTCTGTTAAAATAATTTACTGCTTTATGGTTGAAGAAGAATGTCCACAATACACTCTCTTTAAAAAAATTTTCAGCAGGTGATTTTTACTTTAAATGTCCTAATAGAGTCAAGTTTTTTAAAAAAATTTCCCTTATGTATGGTTAAATGAGTTGAAGTGGAGGGTTGCCATTTCTCTACAAGAACCTACTTTAATTAGTTTACTCAATAAGACATAAAAATGGAACAACCAAATTGTTCAATATTTTTGTTTTAGTTGGAAACTTTAAAAAGTAAGTTACAACTTTAAACAGACTAGTGTGTGTCTTCCATAATAAAGCCAGTCTCCAGACAGATTTGTGTTTAATTTAATTAACAAACAACAATAAGGAAAATACAGGTTACATTGACTATTTCTATGCAGTGATTTATCAAATGTACTCTTACTAGTTAGCTTGAAAATCACTGACTTTTGTTGTGGGGAATGAAAATTCATGTAAGATCTTTTAATACCTTTTTTCTTCCTAATTATGACTAGGTTTCTAGAAGCTCTTAATCACTTTGAGAAGGCAAAAACCTTGATTTATCGACTTCCTGGAGTGTTAACTTGGCCTACCAGCAATGTGGTTATTGAAGAGACTCAGCCAGGGAAAATAAAGGTAACCATTTATTTCTGCAGAAAGTTTCTTACTAACTGTGAAAGCCTGTCTGCCCTCTCTGACCCAGATGTCAGATGACAAAGAGGTCAGAGCATTCTGTTCTCAGCTCCCCCACGGGCATTTCCCTTTTAAAGACTAGTCAGACTCACTGACGTTTACTAAATGGGTTCTATGTGCTGGTCATACATCTGCCATATTTTATTACCTTTAACCCTTACAGCAGTCCTACCAGGTGAGTACTACGATTACTCCCATCCTACAGAGGAGGCAGATGAAGTTTAGAGAGGTTAAACAAGCTCAAGGTTAAATAGCTAGGAAATAGTGGAGCTGGGACTTGAGCCTAGACATTCGGACTTCGGTGTGTGAATTACTAAGCAGAAAGGTATGCTATCCTTACAGAAAGGTATAGCATCGTTGTTTCATCATAGCTACTGTACATATTGAGGTGGTACTTGAAGACTCAGACAATACTACTCTTACATCCAGAAGCTTAGGATGCTTTGCTAGTTACTGAAAGACTAAATTGTGTGTGAGTTGACTAGGATAGACTTTTAGTTGTGGATCCTGGCATGGACTCAGAACTTGCTTTTGGCTGAAGATTTTAAAAACACAGGGGTCAACTCTTACAACTCAATAATAAAAAGACAACTAATCTATTTAAAAAGTAGCCACAGGATGTGATTTTTCAGGAAGTTGTACAAATAGCCCTGGCTGGTGTGACTCAATGATTGAACACTGGCCTGCAAACTGAAGGGTCGCCGGTTCAGTTCCCAGTCAGGACACATGCCTGGGTTGTGGGTCAGGTCCCAAGTTGGGGGCATGCAGAAGGCAACTGATGGATGTTTCTGTCACACATCAATGTTCCTCTCCCTTTCTTTATTCCTCCCTGCTCCCCTCTAGAAATGAATAAATAAAGCCTGAGTTATCATGTGACCCAGCAGTTCCACTCCTAGATATATACAGGGAAAAAACATGTTCTCACAAAAACTTGTACGTGAATATTCATTGCAACATTATTCATAATAGTCAAAAAGTGCCTGTCAGCCCTGACTGGTGTGGCTCAGTGACTTGGGCGTCCACCTACAAGGTGAAAGGTCACCAGTTCGATTCTCAGTCAAGGCATATGCCTGGGTTGCTGGCCAAGTCCCCGGTTGGGGGCATTGTGAGAGGCAACTGATAGATGTTTCTCTCCCTCTCTGTCTTCCTCCCTTCCCCTCTCTAAAAATAAATAAGTAAAATATTTTTTTAAAGTGTCCATCAACTGATGAATAATAAAATGTAGTCCCCTTATACAATTGAATATTATTCAGCCACAGAAAGAAATGAAGTACTGATCTGTGCTACAACATGAATAAACCTTGAAAACATTCTGCCAAGTGGAAGAAGCCAGAGACAAAAGGCCACATATTCTATGATTCCACGTATATGAAATTCCTAGAATGGGCAGATCTGCTTAGAGACAGAAAGTAGATTTGTGGTTGTGTGGGGCAAGGGACTGGGGGATGTGAGGAGGCACCGCTAATGGGTGTGGGAATTCTCGTTTGGTGATGAAATGTTTTGAATTTAGATTGTGGCAATGGTCCTCACCATTCTGAAAACACACTTTGAAGCGTATTGAATTGCATGGCGTGTGAGTGATATCTCACCCAAAGCTGCTGTTAACAAAAATAAAACACAGATCACAAGGATTGTTGGGTTTCTTCTCTGTAATGTAGACTGGGAGGCGGGGCATAGGACTGTGAGTGACAAGCCAGCTCTGGGAGCATGGTGGCGCGGGTCCCTTAGAGGCACCAGAGCAGTGGGGTCATTCTTCAGGGAGACAGCATGGGTGGCAGGGTCCCAGGAGGTGGGTGACTAAGAGTGGGGGGCCTTGGGTGCAGTGCCTTTGGGAAGGAGAAGAGTAGAGTCCTATGGGATATCCTACCTGTCTGACGCCCTCCGAATGCTGCAAGGAGATTTCTAAGAGCCATATATTGTAGAATGAGGTTTGATGGTTGTAACAGGTTAAGATTTTGATTCTGACTTTGAAATTCTGAAAAAAATTTTTTAGTTTTTGCCCCGTCCTCCACCGTCCCCGTAATTCTCTTGACATGTGTTTGTATCAGCCTCCGTCCACAAGGGAAACATTAAAAAGTGGTATGTAGTTTTTTCCTGGCTAAAAAAAAAAATTGTCATTCCTATGCAGAAAATATTTTCACAGCAAGTGATTATTGAAATCTCAGGCATTGTGATTGATGAATTAGTGTTGTAGCAGTTGTTTTGTGTATTTTTGTTTCAGGCGATGCTAGATAAGTTCATTGAAGAATGCAGGTTCCCTCCAGTGCCAGATGCCATTTGTTGCTATCAGAATTGCCATGGATCCTCCAAAATCCAGATATACATAACAGATCCAGACTTTAAGGTAAATAATGCGTGTACACTAGGAAATTAACTTGGCACAATTGTGCCTTAAGATGAATCTGGAGCAGATCCTGTAATCGGAGGCACCCAAGTTCTCTGGTGTGCCAGCAGTTTTATGTCCCGTTGTCCCCCTTCCCCTGGCCTTCTGTAGGTCTGCGTCATCTCACATCGAAGCCCAGAGCCATGGAAATCAACGTAGAGGGCAGGGTGTAACTGGAGAAGGCAGGCTGGCTAACTGTGCCATAAACTGCCTGCTCCCAGGAGCACTGGAAACGCTGTGAGGTGGTTACCTCTGATTTGCCGAAATTCCAATCTCTTGTAAAATTCGACTGCAAGAATCTGAAGGCCATTGTGACCACTCAGAAACCAAGTTTGAGACCAAGTTTGGCCCTTAATTGTGTGACTTAGTTCCTGGGCCTTAGTTTATTCAAGAGGATAATAGCTGCCCGCCCTGGCTGGTGCGGCTCAGTGGATTGATGGCCGGCCTGTGAACCAAAGGGTCACTGGTTCAGTTCCAGCTGGGGCACAGGCCTGGGTTGCGGGCCAGGTCCCCAGTAGGGGGCTTGTGAGAGACAATCAATGTTTCTCTCCCTCTCTTTCTTCCTTCCTCACCCTGTCTTTGAAAATAAATAAATAAAATCTTTAACAACAACAAAAAACCCCAAAATAAGAGCTGCCCTTTTTGGCGCCGTCTCTGGTTAGAGCAGATGAACTAATGTTTATAAAATATTTTATACATTGTAGAGGATAATGCAGCTGTAAACTATGAAAATGAATCTGTTGGTCAAGCTGTGTATCTCTGACACTAGGCATTTTGGGTTACCAAAATATTGTACCCCCCAGGAGGGAATGGGATGTCTAGTTATGCCTGCCAGATGGACGTAAACAGCTTGCTCTTTATCTCTATGCATGCGACCGAGTCAGAGTGTGTGTGTCTGGGAGAGAGAGAGAATTAATTAAATGTGAATTTAAAAATGTTTAAACCCCCAGGGTTTTATACGAATCAGCTGTTGCCAGTACTGCAAAATAGAATTTCACATAAACTGTTGGAAGAAGTTAAAAACAACAACCTTTAATGATAAAATTGACAAGGTAAGGCTAATAAGATTGTCTGGATTTTCTGTTACGCTTATTGTATGTTGATATTCCACCCCCACCAAGAATCCTAGGAGAATGTCTTAACTGAGTATAAATTCCTTCCTGTACGTGCTAGGCATCATCAGAAAGCTTTCAACTAAAACTTTAATGATAAAGTGGAAAATCAGCTTTTATTTTTATTTAATACAACTATAAAGGTAATAACCACAAAGGTCCTCAGTAAATTGTTTAATCAACTTTTACATTGTGAATGTTATGATCAAAAATCAAAATTTTAATGTCTAATACTAAAATACAGGTCTTAAATTATGCACTGACAATTTTAGGCCTTCAGGGATCTTTCATTTAAGTACTTTCAAGTTATAATACAGAATTGGGTCTCAAGATTGTTATTTTCTGCCAAAATTTGATGAGATAATTTTTACTAAGGAATCAACTTAAATTTTATACTGCCACTTCTCATTGGGATTTCTGTTAATTAGCAAGATAATGATGTTAAAACTATCATTAGCTAGGTATAGTATATGAGAAGGCACAGTTTTAAAATATTATTTGTATTCATAGAATTTGTTTGTAATTTATATAAGCTAGGGACTTAAAAAAAAACAACACACCACTTTTTTCTACATTGCATACCCTCATGTAAAACCCTGTCAATATTGGGGGGAAAATTAAGGTGGCTGTGCTCGATGTCCGTTAGCAACAGGGGTTACTGAAGTTCGACAGAGATGTATTCTCACATTTTATACATTTTCACACAGTTAACTGAAGATATCGTGATATGGCCAAATAACTGTGGCCATTGAGTCACTTCTGCTGTGTCTTCGTCTTACTTTAACTGAGTTTCTCTAACTGTACACGGTTCCGTAGTGGCCTTAACCATGCCTGTGGGTTGAAATATACCCTCTGTAAGTTAACTTCCAGGAGGATATACTGAAGTAACATACAGCCCAAACGTCTCATGGCGTACAACGAGAAAGGTTCCCCTTGCGTACGTGACTTGTCCTGAGGTTCTACAGCTGTTGGCCAGGGTTGGATGTTGTAGCTCTAGTCTGTCGGCCATGTTCTTTCCATCTGAATCAAGGTTCCCGGGAAGGTGTTCTTGTGGCAGAGGGTGAAGATCAATGGCGAGTCCATTTGGTGTTTCTTCACGCTTTTGCTGGGACATGGTGTATGTCGCGTCAGCGCTTCTGGTGTTGACGAAAGCAAGTCATGTGGTCGACCCCATAGCCGATACTCCTCCTACAGGGCGGCTCTGAAAGTCACAGGGCAATGAGCAGGGGCTTCAGTGCCTCCCTAAAAGAGGTTTTTGACCGTATTTTAACTGTCCGTGGTGGTTAAAATTGTATACATCTATAGACTTACTCTGATATATAGCACTTTTTTGTTTTTTAATCAAACAGGATTTTCTGCAAGGAATTTGTCTTACCCCTGACTGTGAAGGTATCATTTCTAAGATTATCATCTTCAGCAGTGGTGGTGAAGTTAAATGTGAAGTAAGTATCTGTTACGGGAAAACCTTATTAAATTGATAACCAGAATGCTTACACCTTTTAAAGCATGATTTAAATTTATGAAAGTTGTGCAATTTGGACCTTGTCTTTTCCAGAAACAGTTACTTAATTTCAGAAAATATAGGAACTATGAAGATGTGAGAATGCTTCTTTGCAATGAAGGAGTCTCACATTCTTTTATTTCCTAACAGGAAAAGGAGGCTTTTTCATTTTAGTTTTACTGCTATTACTCTTTTTATAACCTTGTTTTCTTAAGCCCAGATAAACTTTTGGCGATTTGGAGGGAGGGGGTCCTGTGGGAGGGAGAGTGTCTTGAGGGGTCACCTCTAACTGGTCTACATGGGGGTGGCAGGAGTTGGCTGTTGGGATGGTATTTATAGTTTATTTGATGTCTGTTTACTTTCAATTAAAAAAATTTCTTGCTAAAGCGTGTCTACTCTCTTTTCAGCAAATTGTTTTGCTGAAGTTTTCTGGACTTTTGTCTGGGTCAGATCATCATCACTGTTCTCTGCCAAATTGAACATTGATGATGTACATCTGAAATGCTTGTTACTTGTGGTTTTGTGCGTTATGTCATGGAAGTATGAGACAAATTTTGGATGTCTTTGTTTTATTTAAAGTTTGAACACAAGGTCGTAAAAGAAAAAGTTCCTCCAAGACCTATTCTGAAACAGAAATGTTCTAGGTAAGATTTTTAACTAAATCAGTAGCTTAATGATGTCTTTTGTAACATAATTCTATTAAATGCCGACTTCTAAATTATGCTGTTTTTTAAATTGGCTGTGTACACATGTCCAAATAAGTGGTTTTTAAGTGATTTTTATGGACATTTAAAACTTAAAAAGAACTGGCCTGGAATGGTTAAATACTGAAAACTTGAATCAGAAGTTTTATTTAGTGGTTGCATTTATAAGAAAAATTATGACACATGATATATGATTAGTAGATTTGGCAGTTACATAAAAATTGTATACTTATCTGTCAGTTGTTTAAATTCCAAAAGCATATTTTTTAATCTTTCTTCAGCAAACATTTTGAACCAATGACTTATTTCTCACACTGAAATACTGAATGTATTTCAAAATTATTCCCTTCTTTGTATCTTCTTGTTAACATCAAATAATTACAATCCACTCTGCTTTTCTTTTTGGTCCTGCCTCTTGTTTGCCATTCTAATAAAGTGATTTTTTTCATCATTGATGACCAAGAAAAAACAAAAGAAATGATGAAAAAAATCACTTGTTGGAGAGCATTCATTGTAACCATACCAATCAGATTCCAGTGTTGTGAGCCAGTATTGGGATGGGAAAATAATACTTTACGGAGGGTCTTTGAAATGAGTGTTTATATGTATTATCTTGCAGAGTAACTTCTGTTATTCATGTTTACGTTAAGCAGTAACTTAGAAACATGGAAATAATATCTGTACAATCTGTACATGCCATCCTTAATTAAGCATCACTTAATCACTGGGATTCTTGTTTTCATGAAACATGTACGTTTAGATTGACTGGATTGACCACATGTTAACAGTTTTTGATATTGAACAGAAGGTGCAGGCTAAGTTCTAATTAAAAAGGAAAACTTCTAACTTATTGCTTAGAGAATGATTTGTATAGTAGACAAAGGAATATAGTTAATTGAGTTTATAGCAAAGGTGAATTATTAATTATAAATGTTTATCAGCCTAGAGAAGCTAAAACTGAAAGAAGACAAAAAAGTGAAGAGAAAGATCCAAAAACAGGAAGCAAAAAAATTAGCACAAGAAAGAATGGAAGAGGACTTAAGGGAAAGTAATCCACCCAAAACTGAAGAGCAGAAAGGTATGCTGGAGTCCAAAACATGATAAAAAGAGTATATTGTCACTTAAACTGTGAATATAGATATTCATCTTACCGAGCCTTATGTTGTTACTGAATTGAAATTTAGATGTCAGTTAATATTTTAATACTGTCACGGGAGGGGGTGGTATAAATGGCACTGATTTTGGAAGCAGTACATGGGGACTCAAAACACTACCCTGCTGCTTACCAGGGCAGAATCTTAAGTTTCTCATCCCTAAACTGAAGGTAGAAACGACATCCAGCATGAGTGTTGTGTGTTTGACAGTGGTCTGTAGACTTCGCTCTATGGATTTAAGTTGTAAAACAGTGAACTGTAAATTCATTACTAATTATCCGAAATAATGCTGAGTGCCAATAAAGAAGCTGTTAATAAGGTGCCACAGAGATTGCTAGTCCAGCCTTTTGTTTTATGCTCATCTCGTCCTCATTCTGTGGTCAACGTGGGAGGGTGTGTCTGGTAATGAACTGTTTGTGCGGACACACTGCTGTGCATGTTTACGTCCAGGCGAGTTGAAGTGTAAGGCATTCTCATTTTCTGCAACAGTGGCTGTCTTTAAAATGAAATATTTCCTCTTGCTGTCTTTTCATTTAGAGTTCCATTAATGTCTTACAAATCAATCAAAATAATCTTTCCTACTTGAGGAGGGACTCTGATCCCGCAGAGCCCATCCCGGGCCATCACGGATGGGGGTGAAATACAATAAATCGTTCCAGATGCTTCTCTGCTGCCAGGGGAGGGACTGGCTCTTCCCTCCAGTGGAGAAGGCCCCGAGCCCCTGTGTCCAAAGGCTTTTATTGAAGGGGTTATCAGTGGGGCTAGGTAATAGGAATGTACCGGTGATCTCATTACATCAGTATGTTAATGTTCACAGAGAATAGATGATGTTTTGAAGAAAACAAATGGCAGGAACACACCGATTTCCATGGGTCCAAGAGAAGACGAGTAAACATGAGAGCGTAAACATAAGGGCGCCAAAGGGTTTAGGGTCAGGGTCTGTGAATAATGTAAATTTCCTTCCCAGCTTGAGCCGATTATCATAGCTTTTGAGGGGAAAACAAAGCATGCTTCAAGGAATTCACTTCTAGGCCTGATTTCCCTCGGGAACCGCCCGATCCCGTTTAGGGCTGTCTCCCGTGTTGTTTCAAGCCTGAGCCAGGCGGGAGGGGAGCAAGGCAGCCAGGAAATGAGACTTCTTCAGACAGAATGAGGACCCGGCCATATCAAAGCTGAGGGGTGAGGGTCTTTGTGCCCTTTACGTGTGTCCCCCAAGTTTTCCCCGGCTGCCCATTGCGGCTGTGCCTGTCTTAGGTTACCCTTTCCATCGAGGGGTCTTACGCGCCATTGACCAGCCAGCCGTCCTCCAGGGCCAAGCAGGGCGATGTGAGGGAGGCAGGGGCTGTGTCCCTGCAGGGAGACAGGTTTGGTCTCCTCAGTGGCCTGTTTCCCCACGACCTCCTTGCTCAGCTCCCACCTTGGGGCCCTCTCGTCTGTCGGCGAGGCTGCAGTTCCTGAAACCAGGCGGGACGTTTCCCAACACCTACTGAAGAAGTTTTCAGTGAGTGTTGGTATTTTAACTTGTCTCACTTCAAGAGACTGACCATCCATTAGAGAGATGAGTGGGTGGGAAGATGGATTCCCAAGGTATTTTCCAGCCTGTAGTCAGTGAGGTCTGCAACTTAGGATCCAACAATTAGATAAATAATATAACAAGAACTACCAAATAAAAATTGAATCTATGAATGAATAAATGATCACTTCTACTCCAAAAAAACCCCCTTTGTATACTTAATGAGTAAACATGTTTATTGAATATAAATTCTGGGTTGTTGATGAGGCTGGGTTAGGATGGTTGAGGGAAGTAACCTTATTTTAGAGGAAAATTTTAGATGTTAGATGAGTGGTACAGAGAAAAGGAGATACGGTACTTTTGATACGTTTTACTTAATATGAACTTCCATATTTTTTCAAAGGTATTAAATACAGAGTGGGGCAAAAGTAGGTTTACAGTTGTAAGTATGTGAAACACAGAGCTTATTCTCGTATTATTCAGTAATTATTGTATTTTCCATACGAGCAACTGTCAACTTACTTCACTCCATGCTGTATTTATAGTCCTAATTTCACCTTTCTTGAGTTGTTTATTTCAAACAACTGAGTCACAAAGAATCTGAATCATGTTTGTATTGGGTAACATCACATCATTTCTTCCTGAGTGTCCGTCTTTGCCAGACGGCCTGGCTTCTCGCTGTAACTGACCCCCGTTGCTCACCCTTAGAAAATGCAGCGCGGGTGCAGCACTGCCCGCTCCTGGACGACCGGATTCTGCAGTGCATCAAGCTGTCTGCCGACAAGATCCAGGCCGGAGTGCCGAACCCGTCCAAGCTGCTCAAGGAGCTGCTCTCATGGAAGGTGCTGAGCACCGAAGACTACACGACCTGCTTTTCCAGCAGGAATTTTCTAAATGAAGCAGTGGACTATGTCATTCGTCACTTGATTCAAGAAAAGAACAGAGTCAAGACAAGGATATTCCTGCATATTTTGAGCGAGCTTGAAGAAATGGAGCCAAAATTAGCCACCTGGATCCAGAAACTTAATAGCTTCGGTATGTCATTTACGTCTAGAGAGGCAGTTTGGCAGGAAGGGTAAACAGAGGGCCCCAGAGTCCTTTTCTGTTTTCCTGTCATCATTTATGATTTGTTAAAATGTAGGACTATAAGTTGATATGGTTAAAAATACTGTTTTCCCAACGCACCATTTTTAGGTTATTTCATAGGGAGGTCACAGTATACAGTCTTAAAAGGTATAAACACAATAAAGTTCAGTCAGTTAGAAAATGCAGTCCTGCGTTATGCTGAAGTATTTGTAAGTGTGTGAACTGTAAATACTAGGCCCAGCCAGGAGTACAAGGCACCCCGGGAGCCAGGCGGCTGGGCCCTCGGGGACTGTTTGGTCCAGCAGTTGGAGTCCTTAAAGGAAAACTGAGAGGGACGTGTAGATGGAACTGACTGCTTAGGATCACACCACCTAAGGCAGATCTCTGTCGGAGTGACCCGTATCTAACAATTAGGAGAAAAGTACCTGGGTGGTTGCAAACCACAGGGTTGTAAGACTTCCTCTGTCCTGATTTTCCTAGTTTGGTTGAGGAGCACCCCCCACGCAGGCCCTTGGCCCGAGGCCCTCACGCAGGGCCTGCGGAAGGCCCCTGCGGGCCGAGTTGTCTAGCACCGGATGGTGACTTCTTGGGTGCCCACGCGGGCCCAGCTCACCTGGCCGACTGATGGCAGCTGGCCTGCACAGGAGATGGTTCGGTTGGCAGCTGTTAGACAAAAGGTCAGTGGCAGAGCAGGGTCTTGCGGTGGCCTGGGGCCCAGAGTCAGCCTGCCAGGCCTCCGCGAGCCACCAAGCTGCCCGAGTCCTCAGAGACGTGAGCTGGTGCAGCGCTAGGGTTGCAGAGGAGACGTGGCAGATTTCTGGGCAGAGACACTGAAGAGGGCAGCAGGGTTGGCACTGGGTGCCACGCGTTTCTGGTCCTAGAAAACTACCCCGAAGGGACGATTGTCTTGGTGTCTATTAACAACCTGGCGCGTCAGTTGCAGTTATTTCTTGCTTTAAACTGCCCTGTGAGACAGACCTGAGAAGCAGGCTCCCCTGGCTGTGCTGGCCTGGGCGGGAGTGCCCGCCAACTGTCCGTTGAGGCGGGCGGCAGCCTTTGGCTGTCGGCTCGCTTGCGGGAGAGCGGGAGTGTGTGATTTGGACGTAGTCCACGTTTATTCTGCAGATTAAAGGTATTTTAATGAGTATACACATGCTATTTAAAGTTGCAGGTTCTATTCAAAGCTGTGGAATGATTCAAGGATGTTAATTACTCAGGCTGTACTATAGCCCTGATGTAAAGCTCACATTTATTAAAAGCAAGTAATTTTCACTTCCTGGAATTTTACCTCTTCTCACAGGAAGTCACATCATGTGCTTGTTTAACATGAGAGGTCAATTTATATGCAGATAGAGGAAGGGAGGGGGAGGCCCAAGGGGCGGGAAGGGGGGCAACGAACTGCGAGTTCTGCCTTTCCCTCCCTGAGTAGGTGCTCTAAGGTGAGCCTTAGGTGGGGGGTGGGAATGTGGTATTTCTTCATAGGCGATTCCCTCAAACCCAGTATTGTATGAGTGTTTTATGGGGTCCTTGATTCTGCTGTTTAATGATCAGAACTGTTCATGCAATATGACCTCCGCCAACCAGCTGTTGCCTCTGGAAGAAACAGCTGTAGGGGGTAACTCGGACTGGGGTCGGAGAGCCTGCGGCCCCTGGCAGAGCGGACTGTGCCGAAGCGGAGGCTCGTGGGAGAGGGGCAGAGCTGATCTTCGCCCTTCTCTCCGAGGCTGACTTAGTGAGGAGCGGGGTTCAGCGTGCGGTCGGTAGCAGTGTGGGGCTGCAGCCGCCCTTTTTCTGATTCGGGAAGGGGGAGTGAACCAGGAATGGTGAGGGCCGTGACTTTGGGGAGGAATGTTAGCAGCCATGACATTTTGGGGAATATGGAGCTCTCCTTGGAGGTGTTGAGGGAGGAGCTTACCCACTTCCTGATTAAAGGCACTTGGGAAGCTTTTGCATAGTACTGATGTTTTGTTACTGTGGAGTATATGTAGAGAAGCGTTGTAAAATCTTGCTCGTTTGTACTAATTGGAATGAAAGTCATTATGAATTAGTGGAAAGGTTATTGCTGTATTTTTAAAGGAATTCAATGCCTTTTCCTAAGTCTAATCAAAATAACTAATAATAGAAGCCTTCACCCCACCTTATTCAACTAATAGATAAGAATTATTGTAATTGGCGTTATCAGTGTTAAATGGTGCTTCTGAAATGTATAAGAGCTTAAACAAGTTTCTTCTCAAGTATTTACATGTTTTCACTACATTGTAAGCAAATTGTAATGGAATCATTTTCAAAGATGTGCTGGTCAGTGTGCTTTTACAGTAAATGATTTTCCCTTCTCCTGACTTGGGCTTTGTTTTTATTACAGGCTTAGATGCCGCAGGATCTTTTCTTTCTCGTTACGGAGATTCTCTTAAGGAGCTTGATTTTAGCATCATGACTTTTCTCTGGAATGAGAAATATGGCCACAAACTACACTCGATAGAAGGGAAGCAGCTTGACTATTTCTGTGACCCAACGTCGCTGAAGGACGCCCGGTTTCTGATATGGCTGCTGGAGGATCACAGGGACAAGTTCCCAGCATTGCACAGTGCTCTGGATGAATTCTTCGATATCATGGGTATGTGGGCCACGTTTATATTATACCTGATCTTAGGGAGGAAAATCTGTGGAGGACCTAATTTATTTAAATACTTTTAAAAAATAGTGACAATTGTTATGGTAAAACTGGCTTATTTGGGGAGGCTAGTGATTAAGAATAATAATTTTTCTTCATGTCCTAAAGCCCTTTTACTCTGCTGAACTCAGTGTTGTGGAGACGCTCAGAGGGGTCCGTTACACGGACTGAGCCATTGCCGTTCTCACTTAGACACTGTGACAATGTCACGGCAAAGACTGCACGTTCAGTCGCCAGGATTTATTAAGAAGGGGCCTGATTTGTAGCAGCCAGGAAGGCATTGGTCCGTGCGAGTAGCTTTGCAGAACCTGGGACAGACAGCACGTCACCGCGGGGGGAGGGGCCTGGACCTGCGAGCCGGGAAAAGTGGGCTCTGGCTTGGCTTCCTCCCAGATCCATTTTGTGAAAAAGCTTGTTTTTACCTCCGCCGCATGGCCCACGCTGGGTGTTAACGAGGAATTCAGCGATGGCTGCGCCGCTCCCTGCCCTCGAGGGCTTTGTGCCCCTCAGCAGGGAATGAGACGAATAAACGTGTCATGTGGGATCAGTGAGAGAGGACCAACGAAGTGGGTCAGACGGGCTTGAGCACGTGTGTTCTCCCGGGGAGAAGAAGGCCTGCGGTGGAGTGGGGTCTGAGGGGAGCTGGAGCTGGGCGGGTGACCGCCAGCCTTAGCAGGGGACGGGGCAGTCGGGGCAGCTGTTTGTTTGGGTGAGGGTTGGAGTCCAGTTTGGCAGAATAGGACAGCTAATAGTTCATTTCTTAGCTGCCTTTGATTCTTAGTTTCTTCATCTGTGTGGGCCTATTTTGCTTCAAAGTTCTAAAGCTTTAGATTCGAAATTAATTTGAGTTTCCTATTTTTGCTAGTACATGTATGTCTTATGATAACGCCCCTCCCCTTTCGCCCAGCATCAGAAGTCTGCTTCATCGCTAGGCATTCGTGTTAAATCCCAGCTGCTTGTTTTAAAGTGCACGTTAAGAGGCCTGGCCCTGCACAAAGGAGTCAGAGCGCACATGCAGTGTAAGGACCCCGAAGCTTTCCTCCGCTGTGGTTCCCGGTGGGGAGCACACGCGTGTGCGGACGGCCTTATTTCCCAGGGCACTGCTTCACGCCCAGGCGCGCCGTGCTGCCTGGCAGTCTGTGTGCATGGCCGCCGGTTTGCTGCCGCTGGCAAGGAAGTGCTGCCCTGGAGTGAGCACCCAAAACCCGAGGCGTGTTTGAGTCCCACAACAGGACGACAAAAAGGACACAGTAACGCCCTCTATGCATTTTTCTTTATTCCTGGGTCCCCTGCCTAAAGCACGCGGTCCGTCTGGCTGTGACGATTTCTCTGCTCTTAGTCATACGGTCGGGAGCCAGCGGCCGAGTGACAGGCCAACAGATTTTGAAGTCCCGTTGCTCTGCCTTGCACTTTGCCTCAGACATTTCCAGTTTTCTCTCCTCTCATGAGAAGTGGTTATATTTCCTAAAAGTTTAAAAAGTCCACGGATCTTGTAAAAAAGGATGTTGTAACGTTACCAGTGCCGCGAGGCCCAGCCTCCCTTCTGCGCTCTGGGCGCGCACGTTTCCCTGAAGGAGTTTCTGTGTGGAAAGCCAAGAGGCCCCTGACGAGCACCGTGGCTGAACCCGCTTATACCCCACTCGTGTCCTGAATTTATCTCATTTAATAACACTTGTGCATCTCGCCTTGACACAGGAAACCAGAGTTAGTTTCGATTCTTCCTTTTTCCTCTCACCCTGTATCTACTTTGCCAGCAGCCCGATCAGCTTTATCTGGTCTCTGTCCTTCCCCGTCCAGCTGCACTTCCTAGGCCAGGGCCACAGCGATCTTTCGGTGACTGGGCGAGCGCGGTAGCCGCCAGACCGGTCTCCATGCCCCTAGACCACCCCCGCCGCGCCCCCCGCTCCAGGTCTCCCTCTTGCGTCGCCTCTAGTGACTTTGGAGGAGCATCGGTCTGATCCTGTCTCTATTCTGTTTGGGAAGCGCTTGTTCGGTTTTGACTTGAGCCTAAGTTCCCATCGTGTGCCCGGGTTCATCATCGCTCTGCCCGTCTGCCTCCTGAATGAACACCAGTTACGGTGCGCAGCCTGCCCTGTGCTCTCCCGCCTCCTTCGCGCGTGCCGTTCCCCCAGCCACATCCCACCCCGTGGACTGGACGGTCTGTTTCCAGCCCCTTCCTCCCCAGAGCCCTTCCTGATTCCCGCCCCCTGCTGGGGCCTCTCCCCTTGAAGACGTCATTATTTCATCGGCTTTGTTCCCATTACATTTACTGTGGCAGTTGCACATGGGGTGAGAGGAGTGAGTTTGTCTTGTTTGTCGAGCACGGGGGTGTGGATGGCAGGGACTGTGTGATGCACCTCTGTGTAAACATATTGTGTAACTCCAGCACCTGGCATGGAGTTTGGCGCCCAGAAGGCACTCCCATTGCACTGAACTGGACTGAAATTTGTTGTTCTTTGTAGTTGGTTTCCTATTTAGTTAGCCATTTCACCCGTGGTTTCTGACCTAGACTGTGTCCAGGCCAGATAAGGCATAGAACACAGTGTCTGCTAGTGTATCTGGGGTGGTTTTCTTTAAGGCTCTAGTGCGCTGCGTGGCAGCGTTAACATTCCGTTTCCTCACAAAACCATCTGTGTCTTCCTACAGACAGCCGCTGCACTGTGCTAAGGAAACAAGACAGCGGTGATGTGCCGGTAAGTTACTTGATCGCTTTCAATGTTATGGTCTAATTTGTGTGGCAAAGGGAGCGGGGAGGGCCCAGGCATGTTTGCTTCGTCGTCGCTGGGACCAAACCTGGAGGACTCCAGGTAGCAGGAACTACTGCGCTGGACAGCTGAGCCCCGCCCCCCTTTCAGAATGGGGGCAGCAGTCGCCAAACTCTGAGGCTCTCATTAGGCAATGGCCTTAAAGGTTTCACAGCTAAATCTTGAATCACCTCCTGGCATAAAAACAAAAAGTTATCGCCCTGACTGGGTGGCTTGGCTGGTCGGAGCATCGGCCTGTGCCCCAAAACGTTGCAGGTTCAATCCCCAGTCAGGACACATACCTAGGCTGTCGGTTCAGTCCTCGGTCAGGGCACGTACAGGAGGCAACTGATCCATCGTCTCTCTGTTTTCCTCTCTCTCTGAAATCAATAAACATATCTTCAGGTGAGGATTTTTTTAAAAAAAAGTTATCTGTATGGTGAAAGTTTTAATGTTTTGCTCCTAAGGAAACCAGAGACATTGTTTTGAATAGCTCCAAATTGAGTTTAACTTAAAATAATGTCAGAGATGTCTTCCTTAAGTGGTTGTGGAACTTTTCAGACAGAAAATTGCTTGTTTACTGATTTTTAGGATCAAGTCATCTATACTTGAAGTTTTGTCTTAACCTGGCCTATCAAACATGGCCCAGCTGAGAATGGAAACACAGCTAACGTGCCCGTGAGAAGTCAGATGCTCCGTCTGCACCCACTCTGTGCGCCCCGGTGTCTGGCCCGGGGAGGAGGCCTGGTGTGCTTAGTAAAAAGAGGGTCATTAAAACACTGGTCGCATACCACTGGGCTCACTTTCGACGTCTGATTAATTGCTCGAAATGCCCAAAGCCTTGTTGAACATGAGTTCAAAATATGGAACAAATGTAATTTCAGTTGTAACATTAGGCACCATTACACTTGTTCATTATTTCTAGTATAAATCATAACCGTGGCGCTGATACACGGTAGTGTTCCTTTTGTTAAACATACTGTATAACTCAGCTTATGACCAGTCTATCACAGTCAGTGTGTTTATAATACATGGTAGCTTCATAATGATGTGTTTGAGTGTTCAGTGATTTTTTTCCCCCCATGTTTTAGATTAATCCTACCAAGGTGAAAAACAAAGGCAAGAAAAAGAAACCAAAAGATTCAAAGGTATGGAGTGTTTTCTGTATTAATTCTTATCTAAGGTAATTGAATATGTAGATTAGAATTAACCAATTCTTGGGATACTTTGAAGCATTTTGTTGAGATGACTTTCTAGGTTTTAAAGATATTTTGGCAGTCTCCATTTTGAGGAAATTTAAGGTTCATATGGTATATAACTCTTAAAAGAAACTTTTATATATTTTTTAAAAATTTTCTGATTACTTTTGAGTAAAAACAAGTGTCACAATGTAGGCTTCTGTAGGGTTGTCATAGAGCAGGTGCCAAGGTGGCCTTTGAGTTTATATCTTGGCTCTTGACCAGTTATTTTTACTGCTGTTTTTATTGCCTGTGTGACCTCAGGCGCGTTATTTGGCTTCCCTGTGCCCCACCGTTATCTGTATGAGACATAATTCCTGTGAGCAATAACTAGTAGAGCTATTATGTAAAATATTCAAAATGAAGATGGTGAACACTAATCATTATAACAGATTCTCAGAATTGACAGCCTCAGAATCTAAGTCTGCAGTGGGCTCTCCGCGGCTGTCGGGGGCAGGGTGGAAAAAGTGGACGACTCCTAGGGGCGGATGAGAGCAGCCAGTGAAACGGTTCTTTTTGTCTTTGACTGTATGTCTGCAGTTTACATAAGACAGGACTTTAAAAGGAGTGCCATTTAAGTTTTTTGGGAGTGTGGGAAGCTACCTAAATGTTCACTCCGGTCTATTGATGGTTGTTGAAACTTTTACTATTATGTGTTCCTACTCACAAGACAATTTAGATAAATCTCATATATTGGCAATTTGCATGCATATTTATGTAAGCATTCATTGGTTTTAATGGTGTTTTTAAGGTAGAAAATTATTGTCATTTTTACCTCTTTTAAACCAGCCTATGTTAGTTGGTTCTGGAACAACTACAGTGACACCTAGTAATGAGACTGCCACTTCAGGCGAAGACCATAAGTAAGAATAATTTTTAATTTATGCTTCATTTTAACTCAAGTGTTTTAACTTAATACGTGATGTTAATTTAATGTACTTTCAGTTTGTGTTTTCTCTAACTTTTCTGTCTAAAGATATGCATCTTTAATGACAACCTGATGTGTGACCCATCTTGGCTGAATTTATAGCATGGCCTGTCAGTGTTGAGAATTCATACAAAATGCATTAAAATCACAGCGCTGATGACATTCATTTGATAAATTGGAGAACTTACTATGTGCAGGATACACTGTGGGACAGTCCTATAAAATGTTCTTTAAAATATTCATTGAAGAGAATGTTCTATTGATACTTACTAGCATGTTTGCCATAATAGAGGCAGAAATGTTTTGGGAATTATATGTGATTTAGTAATTTAACCTTAGATTTTTAATAGCATCTAGTTGTTGAAGCTGAGTTTTCAAGAAACAAATAGATGTAAGAAGAAATAAAACTAGTGAGTAGCAGTGACCTTTCTATATCATACTCTTTAGGGGTCAGAAACCACAAAAAATGTTTGTTTATTTTCAACATTTTTTAAAGGCGTAATAACAGTTGCTTCACACAGTCATTTTCCTGGATTCTTTAAATGGAGAAATTGTAACACTTATATACCAGGCAGTATTCTATGAGCTTTACATATAGTATTACTCTGGATCACCTAAAGCTTATTATGTACACAATTTTTTTTTTTGTTTTCTAATCAGCAAAAGCTCTTCAAGTTCCGCAGGCCCGTTTGTAGTGCCTGAGCATCTTCGGCAAGATGTGGAAGAATTCGAAGCCCTCTATGAACAGCACAACAGTGAATTTGTTGTCCACGACAAGCAGCTTTGGGACATGAACCCAAAACAAAAATGTTCAACTCTGTACGAGTAAGTAGAACACGGCTACGACTGTTACTTCATACCGAGGCTGCCATTTAAAGATCTTCAGTTTTCAAATTTGTGTCCCTTATGTTTCTTAAAGGAGCCATTTATGGCCTTGTAAACTCTGGGGAAGAAGAGTATTTTTTACAGCTTTTGTTTAGTATTACACAAATATAATTGAGAGTTTTTAATTATTAAACTTGTAATCTTAATGATTATTACTTTTGTCAGTTTGAGCTGCTAATGTACATACTTTCTACTTCCCAAACTGTCCTGTGTCCTGATAGGACTGGTAAAGTTTCCAGCCGTAATTGTTTCCTCATGAATTTCCAGGTCTGCGTTTGAGAAAGAGCAGGGTGATGACTCCTCTCATTGTTCTTGTGGTGATGGACGCCTCTGGTGGGCATCTCTCAGTCCAGTCGAGTAGCTTGGTGAAGTGTTAGGCTTTTCCTGGGGAAAGGATACCCGGATCTTGGTACTGCTTCTGCCACGCGACAGTACTTCAGCTGGGACGGCGGTGCACCTGCAGAGCCCTGTATCTCTGTGCTGTGGTGGAGACTTGACTTTCTGGCATGGGTCTAATAAGAGGACTGCCTGTCCTGTCCTTGGGTGTGAGTTACTTTCGGATGGAAAATGTGAATGTGAAATTAACACTTACGGCAAGTCTGAGTAGGGTGTGTCAAATAGAGCGACGAGTTCAGGAAGGTCTAGAAATGACCATTTTGAGCTTGGCATTTAATAAGCAGTGCATGATGCTTTCCTTCAGAAACTAAGGGCTAAGATCTGCAAGAGAGAATTAATTCAACAGCTAACTGCTCCCCTGGAGGACGGTCACCCAGCCGCAGTCTGGTCGCTTCTGTTTTCCTCGGTTGTATCATTCCTGTTCAGTCTGGTCATATGCTCTTGGTTCCTCTTGTTGGTTTTCTTTAGAATTGAAGTGCTGAGAGTCCTATTTCTAGAGAACTCCTGGATGGCAGCATGAAAACAGCTATAAAAATACACTAGTATTTTGAAAAATATGTTAGACTTTGCTTGAGGCATCCAGACCTGAAGATAAATTGTGTAGTTTTCAGGAGCTTGTTTCTTAGAGACTCTATTACCATTACTAGTGGGAAGAAATTAAGCACCTTTAAGAGGAAGAATTATAGGTGGATTTGTTTGTATTTTGAGATAGAATTGATATCTTATAATAAGACTAAGTCAGTAGGTTATAGAGAGTCACCTCAAAACATAATTCTTTCTTTTAATTTTCAAGAGTAAACGTGATGCTCTGGCCAGTGTGGCTAAGTTGGTTGGAGCATTGTCCTGTAACCAAAAGTTGTGGGTTCGGTTCCCAGTTAGAGTACATACCTAGGTTGCAGGTTTGGGTCCTGGTCTGGGCATGCACTAGAGGCAACCAATTGATGCTTCTCTCTTGCATCGATGTTTCTCTCTTTCTCTTCCTCTTTCTCTAAAAAGCAATGGAAAAAGAAGCCCTTGAGTGAGGATTAAAAAAATTAAGTAAACTGTGATGATCAGCCCAAGAATGATTTCCCTTTACTGACCGATGGATAAAAGAAAAAAAAAATTAAACTGTGGTGTATGAAAAGAGTATAGAGTAGGAAAAAATGTTAGGGAGTGCAGAATACTGGGATAACTGCTATTAATTAACTTTTTCTTAAGTATTTCACATTAAAGTAGAGGATTGAACTCATTGATTTTTAATGACTCCCTTCTAGTTCTAATATTTTATCATTTAGATAGTTGAAGCAAATTAAATTTCAGTAGGTAGTATTTTGCATTTAGTTTCTCCTAACGCCTCTTTAGTGGTGTTAATTAGTCAACCAAGAGTAAGGTTAAACACTGTGCAAGATTGTAGAAAAAGTAGAAAATACAGTCTTATAGTGTAGCTCACAAAGAGTAGGAGAAATAGATTGATCATTGGTCAATTATAGTCTTATAAAGTGCCATTAAGCAAGAGAAGAAGAATTCACCAGTGACAGGCATGTGTTTACTTCTTCTTAGAAGTAAATAGTGTAGCTCACAAAGAGTAGGAGAAATAAATTGATCATTGGTCAGATCACAGTGTGTTACAAATGAAAATGACTTTGTGAAGTAAGTATCATGAGCTTGTAGAAAACAGTGGTTTTTCAAGGACCCAGAACACTAGGGTGGGAACGCTTTCTGAAATGTTTCTGTCCCTACCCCTTTCCCTGTTGACAGTGGCGCGCACTGGTCCTAGGAAGGTCCATCAGCGACTATTCAAGATACTAATGGTGTCATCCAGTGTGAGAATATATGTGCACGTGTGGACACATATACATAACAACTATTGCTCTCTGTGGTATAATTACTTTTTCGATAGTTTCTTTTTTAACTCCTGACAAGCACAGTGTGCCCGCCCAGTGTCTGCCTCCAGTTCTGAAATACAGGAGCACTACCCTGTCAGCACCTAGGACTTCGAGATGGCGCGCACGATGTGGCAGGAGGCGAGCCTGTGGCACGGCAGAGTTGGCGTGGTCCTGTGGGCCTCCTCGCCTCGGTCGCACCCGCGTCTTCCATCGGGCCTCAGCTCCCTCGCATCTGCTCGACAGCCACGCCAGCCCCCGGTCCTGTGGGGTGGGTGACAGGTTCTGAACCCTGTATCGCAATGGGTTATGAAGAAATCATCTTCGTGTTATTTTGGACCCAGCATTTACCCTAAAGAGACTATTTTTCAAGGCCAGAAAAGTGATAGAGTCGAACTTTATTTTGGATTTCATTTCAAATAATAGTAACTATAAAAATTTTATTCACAATATAGTTACTATACTATTTCTCTCTGGGCTAGGGCCCTTGTTGAATTTAATTTTGTATTGCATTGAACACGTGAAAAATTGATTGCTACTTAGTCAGTGGACAAACATGGAAGCTCTGTTTCTTTGAAAAAAAAATTCTTTTCTGATTACAAAAGTAATGATACAAATTATTACGGAATTTTTTTTTTTTAAATAAAAATTTAACCCTGACGATGCAGTTTAATTGGTTGGCGCTTCATCTCATACACCAGAAAAAAAGTTGCATGTTCAGTTCCCTGTCAGGGCACATACCTAGGTTGTGGGTTCAATCCCTGGTCAGGGCATGTACGTGAGGCAGCAGATCCATGTTTCTCCCTCTCTCTCCCCGCTTCCTCTCTCTCTCAAATCAATAAACGTATTCTTGGGTGAGGGTTAATAATAATAATAATAAAATAAAGTTTATTCTTTTAAAGATTTTATTTTCTTTTAGAGAGAGGGGAAGGGAAGGAGAAAGAGGAGAGAAACATCAATATGCGGTTGCCTCTTACACACTCCCCACTGGAGACCTAGCCCACAACCCTGACCAGGAATCGAACTGGTGACCCTTTGGTTCTAAAATAAAGTTTAAAGGAAGAAAATGACAATGAATTCTGTCATCCGGCTCTAAGCACCCCTAAGTCTTGGTGCTCATCCTCTCAAGACCTTTTAAATGTCGGTGTGCAGAACATGTTTTAAAACTTACAAACTGTGGTCATGCTGTACACTCAGCTTTGTCGTCCACCGTTTTCACCAGACGCGCGTGGTGAGCACTGTCTGACCTCCTGACTGTCCTTCAGGGACACGCTTCTGGCTGCTCGGCCGTGCTCGCCAGACCGGCGGCGGCATGTGCGTTGCTGGCTGTTGAAAAGCTCGTTGCGGACCCGGAGGGCGACTTCCTTTCGTGGGGTCTCTCTTCTTTAGTTATCCCTTTTTGGATTTAAGTATTTTAATCCAGCTGGAAAAGCTTTCTTTTTCAGTGATTCTCTCGCGTATTCACCATGGGGAAAAGAAGTAAATCCATGCCCATCACTGGTGAATTCTTCTCTTGCTTAATGGCACTAAACACCAACTGGAAAGGTGTCTTTTCAGACAAATCGCGGGGTCAGTGTCATTGATGCCAGTCGGCCAAAACCCTTAGCATGGGCCACCGTCCTTGGGACCACAATGGTTTACTTCTTGGTACTTCACTCTCCTCGACCCTTCAGCTTTTAAAGGTTTCCCATTAAAACCTGGAGTGTGGTTGAACCTGTTACCTTGCAAAACATCGTGTGTGTAAGGAATTGCTGCTGTGCAGGAATTATACTAAGAGGAAATACTCATCAAAAAACACTTTGAAAGAGATCGTTTGGTGGCTTTTACGTGTGGCGCGCAGCAATGCTGGCAGAAGTGGCTTTTGGTTTTTCTGCCTCAGAGGACCTGCTGTTTGCATAGGGGCTGGTTGCCTGTAATTGTCCTTCCTGTGCCTTTATCGGCGGCAGCTTCTGCACAGAAAACGGCTTGCTTTTGCTTCAAAAAGCGTAGTTTTTACGTCGTCGTAAGTAGCTTGTCTTCCTGGTTAGCATTCATTTACAGGAAAGTTTCTTTGGAGAGTTTTGCTCTTGAAAAGCCTTCTTAGTGGTACATGGTATGTGTCCTTCTTGCTAGTCACTCACTGTGAGAAACTGAACACCAAACCCAAACCGAGGAGGAGGCCTCTCTGAGCCAGAGAGGAGAGTGGGAAGAAAGTGCCTAGAGCCGGCCGGGGCACAGCCAGTCCGGGCCTGGGGGCGGTGAATCTGATCCTGCACTGTGTTGCCTTATTGATCCGACATAATTGATTTCAGTACCTCGGAGTCGTTGCACATTCCTAAATAGGAAACTTAAAATAGATGGACTATATGCAAATTCAATAGGATTTTTTTTGAAATTTTATTTCCTCCTCCTATTTGACATTCTTGTTATATTCTGGTTATTTTTTTTTCTTGTATATATTTTCTTTTCATTGCTTTTTAAATAGGTTGTATAATTACAAGTTTATAAAGTAACTTTTTAATCCCCTTTGTTTTTTTCTAAAAATATTTTTAAGAGTTATTTTCTGCTGGGTAAACAAAATTTTATTTATAGTATTACTGATGCATTTACCCTTTCCCAGATTCAATATGAATCTGGTGTTTGATTTAATGTGAGTATAATGTTTTGCTGGGGAGGAGTTGAGATCAGCTGGAAATGATAGTATTTGCTTTAGGAGAATTTTGGGGGAAATACATTTTTTAAATGAATATATGCAAGTACTTTCTTATAACATATAAATGCAAATTTTTTTCCAAGTTATTTCTCCCAGTTTTTGGAGGAACATGGTCCTTTGGATATGAGTTGCAGGATGTTCTCTGAAAAATACGAATTCTTCCCAGAAGAAACCCGAAAGATACTAGAAAGCGCCGGAGGTTTGAAGTCTTTCCTCCTGCAATGTCCCCGTTTCGTTGTGATTGACAACTGCATTGCCTTGAAGAAGTATGCATCGCGGCTCAAGAAGAAGAGAAAGAAAAAGAACATGAAGGCAAAAGTAGAAGAAATGTCAAAAACAGGAGAGTTTTTTCGGATTAAACTGCCTCTGAATCCAACAGCTAGAGAATTTAGACCAGATATAAAATCCACACCAGTGTCCAATTTGTCTTCAGCGCCAGCTTCTGAGGATGTACAGCCCGAACCTGGGCCTGCTGATTCTCCCAAACCAGCCGGTGATGCCGAGGAACCAGAACCAGCATCTGAGGATGCCTGCAGATCAGCTCCTGAGGATGAGAAGCCCAAAGAGGTCCTTCCCGAGTCTCCCAAACCAGTCTCTGAGGATGTGGGTCACCCACGCGCGCCCCCTCAGTCTCCCAAACTAGCTCCTGAGGGTGTGAAGGCAACCTACTGGGCTCCAGCACATCTGGTCACAGGATACTGCACGTTCCTCCCCTTCAGGGGGTTTGACATCACGCAGACACCGCCAGCATACATAAGCGTGTTGCCAGCTCTGCCCCAGTACACCAGCATCTACACACCTCTGGCCGCCATTCCTTCTGAATACCAGCTGCAAAGATCGGTGCCAATGCTGCCATCCTTTGTGGCCAGCGACCGGCCAGAGAAGGGTGCTGTTGTGTATTTTGAGGGTCCTCGTGTGAATGCTGAGCATGCCCCTGGTAACGAGGTTGCGCCTGAAACGCAGAGCCTGTACGACTCTCTGGAGACACCAGGAACGTCACAGTGCCCCACGGATGGTGCTGACCCAGGCTGCAGTGAGCCCAGCACAGATGATCGTCATGGCGGCGATTCTGCCCCCAGCAAGGCAGACCCAGAGGAGGGCAGCGAGGTGACGGACAACGCGCATTCACGAGTGGTTGCCGTACAGGTAAGACTTGAGTAGGAGAAGTCATCTTAATACTGCCGTTAATTTTTTTCATTTTTCATTGCTGTTCTATTTACCGAAGTTCTTTAAAATGATTGACCAGATAAGGGTTACTAAAGCTTTCACCTAAAAAATCTTTTTAAAGGATGATCCCTGTTGTAGGGCACGACAGGTAATCTTGTCAGAAAGAGTTTGGGGGCCTGCTAAATAATGCCTTTGTTTTCTACACCAGTTTTGCATCGGTTGAGAAATAAGATAGAGGAATCAGCAGATGGAGCCAAAAGACCACCTTAGTAATAATTTCAGGCACAGCAGAGAGTGCACGTTGTAACAGGCACCCCCAGCCCCCCGCTTACGCACTGGGCACAGCAGTGCCACACCAGGAGGCCCCCTGGTGCGCGGGGCCTGCCCATGAGGTGTGCTCGGTAGAGAAGGAGGGACGGTGGGCTTTGTGCACACGCAGCTCCCGGAGGAAGAAGAAAGAGGCTGGGCTCCCCATGCCCAGCCTCCCCTGCCCGAACAGCGGAGGAGTGAGGAAGTCGGCCAGAGGGAGACACACGGGAGGGAGGCGGACAAAGGCTCCTTCCTACCAAGAGCGAGAATACGTTTAGTTCCTCTGTAGTTAAAAGTGCAGGGCATGAGTCCATTAAACCCTTACAGGATTATCCCCCTACTCATTAAGGTTTCTGTTCTCTAGAAGGCTTTGAAAAAACATGTCCAGAGTAATGAATCGAAATCATTTTAATTTTTACTAATTGTAAATGCTAGCTCATTCCTAATACAAATATCTGTAGGAAGTATAGTGTTATCTAAATTGTCCAAAAAAAAAACTTGGAGAAGTTGTAAGCATGTCTTTAAATGATATTACATAATGGATAAATTTTAATAGAACAGTTGCAATAGATTGAATTTGAGTGTTTGTTTTGCCCAAAGGTGTCTGGGAATGGAACACACCAGGAAGCCAATACTGAGCCGTACGATCCTTTTGAGGAACAGCAGGTGAGTCAGAATTGTATTAGATTGTTTAAAGGTTTAAAGTTCATTAGTTTAACTAGATGGGAATAGATGGGAATGACTAAAACTATTTTGGAGCCATCTAATTCCGTGTAAAATGTTATTAGGAAATAAGCTTTAGATTATAACCAAAAAATTACTGTTGTATTTTTACTGTTTGTTGGAATTTGGGAAGGAGAGGCAAAGGAAAAGGTGAGTTTTTTCCTATTGTATTTATTTCACAGTATAATGGCTTTATTGTTTAACTGGTATGAAAAGCCTGTGTAAACTTATAAATAAGAGCTTATTCACATGAATGATACAGAAAGTATTACAAAGACCATAACTTTTTAAAGCGTGATTGAATTAGGAAATCTGTTGATATAATTTACTGTGCTGATATATCTTAAGAGAAAAGTCACTTGATAACTCCATAGTTGCTGAAAAGGTACTGGATAAAGTTCATTATTTCTTGACTAAAGCTCATAATAAAATGGAATAGATGAACACGTCTCAACAAGCCAGTGTCTTTCTCTTTTAAGTCAAAGCTATCACCTTGCTTTCAAGGTAAAACATTGCCATTTGTATTTACTATTATTCTAGAGACAGAAGCTGACAAAATTTGATAAGAGAAAGAAAGAAGATTATAAAAGAGGAGGTATAAGTCTTATTATTTACAGAGGGTCAGATTGTTTACCTGGAAAGTTTAAAGGATCACCTGAAAACTCAGTATTAAAATATAAGAATTCTTGATTGGATACAGTATCTCTCCACATATAAACAACAACCTGTTGCAAAGTATACTGGAAGAGAACATTCCCTTTTCAATAGCAACAAAAAGATAAAATACCTAAATCTATAAAAGAAAACTTTAAAATGCTCCTGAGAAACACACAAAAACCTTAAATAAATGAAAAGGTGTTGAACAGGAAGACTGAACTATTGTGAAGAGAGTGGTTCTCCCTAAGCGTCGAATTTAACACAGTCCCAATACAAACATGAGCGGCAAGTATTAGTCGCATGTTGCTGTGTAAGAAATTACCTGAAAGCCAGTGGTTTAAGGCAGTGACAAACAGTTGTTGTCTCGCAGCGTCCGAGTCAGAAGAGGAGCAGTGAGCTGGGGCTTCTGGCCGTCCGTCCCGAGCCTCAGTCGGGTGCGGATCCGGGCTCAGTCTCTGCCGGGGCGACGGGGGCTGGGGGCACCCCTGCAGGCCGCCCGCTCACGCGGCTGGCGAGCGGTGCGGCCGTGGCGGGATGCTTCTTTGTCCCTTGCCTGTGGACCTGCCTCCGCATGGGGCTGCCTGAGTGTCCTCGTGGGGTCTGGCTCACCCAAGACTGGGTGACCCGAGGCAGGAGCAGCAATGGCTGTGGCTGTCTACGTTAGCAAGTCACATTCTTTTTCCCGTCTCCTGTGCCTTGGCCACACAAACCAGCCCACCATCCCTCACACGTCGTCGGGGGAGATTCTGTGGGAGCACGGGTACCGGGCGGCCAGGGTCCTGGGCCCCGTGGGCGGCTGGCTGCTGCGCAGGCTGTATCTGAAAATGGACACACGGATTCTACGTTTCATACGGAAAAATAACCACCAATAGTGGCCATGGAAAAGAAATGATAAGGAAGGGAGTTGCACAACCAAATATCATAACATAAATCTATGGCAGTACATAAATTGGCTATTAGAATAAGAATCCAGTAGAACAGGAGAACACAGAAATTTAAAATATGATAAAAATGGTAACTGTTGGTAAGCACAAAATAGATTATTAAATACATGGTATTAGGAGAAATGGGTTGCTATAGAGAAAATTAATTTGGCTCTCTATCTCAATTCTGTATACCAAAGATTTAAATTTTTAAAAATGGATTTTAAAAAATCCCATAAAAATACCTAAAAGAAAAAAGGGAAAGTTTTTCATAAGATTACTAAACAGCATGACAAAAAGTATATTTATGGATATATACACATACACAATGTATATATACATTCACATGTAGCACATACACGTGTATGAACAAATATACACATTCCATGAAAACTGAAATAATCTAGGAATTTTATTTGCAGCGTAGGAAAGACAGAGAACTAATTTACTTGCTTTAACATATAAAGTTTCTATAAATCAATAAGGAAAAGATTAATAACCAAACACAAAAATGTGAAGGGATGTGACTAGTCATTGCACAATAAAAGAAAAATGATTTTTAAAAAAGATTTTATTTATTTTTTTAGAGAGAGAGTAAGGGAGAGAGAAAGAGAGAGAAACACCGATGTGTGAGAGAAATACCTATGAGTTGCCTCTTGCACACCCCCAAACAAGGACCTGGCCTGCAACCCAGGCATGTGCCCTGACCAGGAATTGAACCAGCGACCTTTAGGTTTGTGGAACGATGCCCAACCTACTGAGCCACACCAGTCAATGTGAAAAATGAGTTTTAGACATATGAAAAGATGCCCAACCCCACTTGAAATTTAAAAGTTATTTAAATATTTTTGAAAAAATGTAAAAATGTACATTTCTGGGGAAGGCAGTTTGGATTTTGTCTGCAGAAATAAAATGTATACAGAGGCCAGTGAACAAGGCTGTTTGTATATGTGTTTCCTTTGTATTTGTGCCCGCACAGAGCTGCATACAGTCTAAACATCCCTCAGTATCAGACCAGTTAACTAAGTGATGGAATATCCATATAATGAAACATTACACTGTCACTTCCAAATGAAGCAATTCTGTTATTATTCACAGGCATTGATTTACAAGATCAGACATGAAATTAAGTAGGATGAAGTAAGGTTAGAAGTTTGGTTGCTACTATTGGTACAGAGAGCTTTATAGTTTTGGCCAATTATAAAAATAATACAGGGCTCTTAAATTTTTTAATGAATAATAATGAAAATTACAAAAGAGAAATTGAAAATGATCTCTATTCCCATCATCCATTTTAGTATTTTCATATGCAGCCTTCCAGGCCTTATTTTAAAATTTAAGTAAACAATGCTTTTTTAAAAATGGGATCATACCATGTATGTTGTATTTGAAATTTTCAGTGTTATTTTATTATGGACTTTTTTTTTTCCATATAAGCAAGCACAAGATTTTTAACATCATTTTTAATGCATACCTGGTATTTCACTGTATGAATGTATGGTAATTTGACTACTGTCTTATCAGTGAACATTTAGATTGTATCAGCTTTTCATACTTCCAGATAGTGCTAGAGTGAACATTTTTGGTGATATAAATATATTGAAAGGAAAATGGTGTTTAGTTCTTATACTGTACTTACCTGTAACCCAAGTATGCTCTGTTTAATGAGTTTGTGTATTTGACTCTCAGATAAACATTATCATCAGTGTTGGGAAAGGTCACAGACACTGTTAAATTAGCCCTTAGTTTTAGGAACTCGACGTTAGCACAGCTGGTTGTGGTTCTCAGCCAGCGAGACTTACGATTAACCCCAGTGCTGCTGCCTTCGCCTGGGACTTGGAGAAGTTGCCTAATTTTTCTACGCTTTGGTTTTCTTATCTATAGAAGATGAAAATAATGTATTTCTTACAGCATTGCGGTGAAGTTCCAGTGTAGTAATAGATAGCGTGTGCCTTTCCGCCTGTCTGTGTGGGTGATCTGGGGCACATGAATTAATACCGTGTTGCTGTCACTGTGAGCCTTTTGCTGAATTGAGAATGAAAATAGAGCCTTAAATCGTAAAGTCTTGGCTAATGGGTTATATAGTAAGCTTGACCATTTACCTTATTATTTACATTACACATGGTCTCCAGACATAGTGCTGAGTTTTCAGGCTGGACAGACAAAAACCCAGACGCTCCAAGCGCGCCAGCATGTGTGGTCACCATAGTTCGCAGCTCTCTAACTGATAACGCACAGAATTCCAACACCTTGCTTTCCTGCCTTTGGACCCTTGGGCGGGGCTGAGGTGCAGGAGGGGGCGGGGGGGCGGGGGGAGGGTGCCCAGACTTGTGCCATGGGGATCGATTTCGACAGCTTGGCTGCCGCAGCCCCTCTCTGGGGAGAGCAGCCCCCTGCAGCCGGGGGCAGCTGCCAGTCACACAGACGCTCCTTCCAGACGCAGGAGTGTGATTGGTGGCCGCCTTAGTGGGAAAGGTTTTCAAAACACTGACATGAATGATGTTGGTTGTTCACTAATGTGTCACATTATAGTGTGGCTTCTCTTTTTATTTTAAATTGGTCCAAGGGATAGTTACATAACTGAAAACAATTAATTCATAATATTTGAACTTGTTTTTTCATTCAGCAACTGTCCATTTAAAACACTTAAAGTAAGACCAAAGTTAATAAGATCTGATCATGTCTAAAATATGCATAACATATGCAGCTTCTTAAACCCAAAAAATAGTTCTTTGATGTTAATTGTGGAGAATGACATTCACATCAAACTGTTGATATAACACTGAACCCTTCTGAAATAGATAAATATTCAGAACCAATTATAGTACAGATGGAGAAGTTTTATTATAAATTCCAGCAGTGCAAAGAACTTTATTTTAAAAAGAAGTGGCTTTACTAAACATCGTTCAAGGGTTTTTATTTCTTGAATCATTGTGACATTTCCCTTAAATTTTTATCTGCTTTTTATTGTCCTTTGTTTATTTTAAGAGACAGTTCAGAGCAAGATCAGAAATATGCATTGTTAACTACTTTAATAGATAATTTTGTAATTTACTTTCAGGGGGATATTTCCCAGATTGAAAGGGAGTACCACGCTTTACAAGAGCTGCTTAAGGAGGCATGTGAAAACTATGAGCAGAGAAAACTCCAGGGCTCCGAAGAGGCCAGGGACCTGGAAGAAAAGTTGAAAAGGAACATAGAAGAAAACAAGGTAATTCTGTCTGAAACCTCTCTTTCCCAGCATGCGGCCTATTTAGGAGAGTTATGCTAGTGCAGCTCAATTAGCTGAGCGGCTGCATCGTTGGCTAAACAAAAGATTCTTTTTCAGTATTGCTTGTTCCCAATTTCTCTATGACATACTAAAGTGACAGTGTTTTTTGCAGTGTTTTTAGAACATCTGCAAGTTACATATAACAAAAGGACTGTAAATAGAGGTTTTCATTTACTTCTAATTCAGGTTGATTGATTAACCAAAACTCTTTTCTGGTTGAACACGTTCCGAGTTAAATTCGTGTTCCTATTGGGAGGCAGGGAGCATTCGCGGGTAGGAGTATGAGGCCTGGGGCCCGGCTGGCCGGGTTCAGGTCCACACTGGGCTCTACCCCAGTTCTGATCTTCACTCCTCTGTGCTTTAGTTCCCTGTCTGGAAAATTCAGGTAATAATAGCTCTCATTGTGTGGGATTCAGTTAACAGTTGTGAGGAACCTGCACCTGCCTGGTGCGCAGTAAGGGCTCTGCTAGTGCCGGCCGCCGCTCTCCCTGCTGATGCCCTCATCCTCTTCCCCTTCTGCACACGAGCCCTGTGGGGGCGCCCGGAGTGTCTCGTGTGAGTCTGCTGACGGTGAATTTCGTCGGCTAAGATTGATCGTCAGTCACACGTAACTGCTGTTGGAGTAATGCTAATTGGTGGCAAAGCCAGGTTGGATTTGGGCGGGGGGTGGAATTGTAGATGTGAGGACATGGTGGTGTGTTTCTCTTCAAAAGCTGAGGTCTTCTGTACAGAGGGAACAAAGGGATGGTAGTCCGTTTAAGAAAGGAAGCGTTTGTTGCAGAAGTCTGGATCAATGGCTGGGGTAACATAATTAGATAGAATAAAGTTAGCTTCGTGAGACCTTGATCAAGACACTCATTTAGTGAGATTGAAGTCCACCTGGAAGAAAAGTGACAGTGTGAAAAGGCAACCGTTACAAGATCCTTAGGACCTGTTTTATACTTGGGACGGGACTGCAGAAGAGTCCAAGGATGAGAACATTAGAAGGAACCAGAAACTTCTGGCCCAGTCACCTGGATGAATGAGGCCTCCCTGACTGGAAGAGGAAGAATCGAACAAAAATAAAGGCCTCCCTGGCACAGTGACTCGTGGAACACAAAGTAGAGGGTGGGGAGGGACTTAACAAAACAAAGTATTTTTATAAGCTCCATATTGGCTCAGGAGAGTTCACTGTTAACGAGCCCATAGGGGAATGCCTGTGGTCAGCACACGCGGGAGAGCAGACATGGGGACCCGCCACGAGAGAGGGCGTCGGCGGTGGGCTTGGTTCTTCCTGGCAGACGCGGTCCAGCCATGAGCTGCTGGCCTGGCTGCGTCCTAGGCGGGCGCAGCTCGGCAAGGCTCCCCTCTTCGTGCCGCCGGCCCAGACGCGCGGAGCGGGCGGCGCCTCGGGCCCGGGGGCAGGGCAGCGAGAGCCGCAGCCCTGACTGGCGGCGCAGCGTGGGCCTGGCCGGCTTTCGCACGCGGTGAAGGCTCTGGGTCCGGTGGCACGTGGTTGGCTGTATTCAGGAGCGTGGCCAGTCCGTGTCTCCAAGAGCCATGGTTTGTCCCCCAAGTCACAGGCCCATTAGGTTATCAGGCTTCCCATGTGAAACGTGTACCCAGCAGGGTCAGGGGCTCACCCGAGTTCTTAGGTCGGCGCCTGCACCTAAGAGGCTGAGATTTAGCCATGGCCGTTTCTCTGTTAACCATGGTGATGCTCATAGTTAGCTTGCAGAGAATCCTTTTATGGACATACAAATAGACTTGAGGGTTTTTTTCTCTTAAGATTTTATTTAGAAGGGAGGGAGAGAGGGAGAGGACACTGATGTGAGAGGGAAACATCGATGTGTTGCCTCTCGCACAAGCCCCAGCCAGGGACTGAGCCGGCAGCCCAGGCCTGTGCCCTGACCGGGAATTGAACTGGCGACCTTTCGGTTTGCAAGATGACGCCCAACCGAGCCAGACTGCTGGGGGCGGATTTTGTGGTTTTTATTGATCTTTCTCTTGGCTTTTGACGCTCCAGATTACTCAGGTTATGAGCTAGCTGATTCGTAACTTTCACTCTTAAGTGACTGATGGACATTTGTGTGTGTTGGAATGCGGCACCTTCCTCCCCTGCGGAGGGGGGAGAGGCTGCAGTCACAGGTCCTGGTAAGGGCTCAGGCAGTGTCGTCAGGCAGCCTGGGCCGAACGCAGTACACAGGTAACAACTCTGTGACCCGAGACAATTTTCTCAACCTCTGTGACCCTCCGTTTCCTCATTAATATGGTCTCTACTTCACAGGTTTGTGAGGACGTGGGGGTCATTGGGAAAGGGTGGCGAATGGCCAGGGATAACGAGTATAGTAGCAGGAAGAATTGTCACATCCCACGTGCCAGCCATGCCCCTGTTGAGAAAAATCAATTATTTACAAAGCACTTTAAGAGTGCTTAGCACATACTAAGCATGGATAAAATCTGAGCTAGCTACCGTATGTTGCAGCCGATGGGGTTTTATTACCTTGAGCCGGGAATGGCCGTGCTCGGCAAGGAGGCCGCTGCCTGTGGCCGCCGGAGGAAGCAGCTCTCCCGGAGCGGGGCCCCACGGTTTCGGCGCCTCTCCCCCGCGGCTGGCGGGGGCGCTGGTCGCGGTATTGCTCGAGGGCGCGCTTGCCTCGCTCTGCTGAGATAAAACCCACACGATGGGAAATGCCGCGTCTTCGCTGGCTCACTGTCGCAGCATGTGCAGTTCGTTGGTGTCCGCAGTCTCGGTGCCCTGTTACCGTTATCACTCTAATTTCAGACCCACTTCCATCGCCCTGAAGAGAAACGCGCCCTCGTTGAGCAGTCGCTTGTCATCTCCCTCGGGACTGTCATTCTTAAGGTGCTTTTGTGAGACTTTAATTCTTAAAGCCACGATGGGCGTTGAGTTGATGTTGGCTTTTCAAGCACAATCAAAATAACTTTGGCCCAGAATAATTTACAGAGGAGAATGTTTGAATTTTGTCCTTTCCTGCTCTAGAGCCGATCCCAGGCCCCCACCAAACCCTCTCCACGCCGCATGGCGCATACGCCGTGCCCAGCTGTAGATTTTTTACATGTATTTATTTAATCTCAAAACCATCCTGGCACATGAGTGTTCTCTCCATTTTACGGACGAGGAAATGGAGACAGGAGCAGCTAATGAACCTGCTCCAAGTCCCTCCAGTTCGAAGGGATCGAAAGCTGGTGTCAGGGTCCGGATCGCTTACCTTGTCCTCCCTTAAGAGAGTGTCAGTCCCCCAGCCAGGGGACAGCGTTCTTCAGCGCCTCGGGAGCAGCGGCGTGTATCTGGTCACTGCTGCCATAATAACGCAGAGTAGCAGTGACCGCAAAACCTAGGGACAGGCACAGAGCAAACAGTAAGTGCGGGCCTGCGGGTTCGCTGGCGCGCTTGGGCCAGCTCGGGCCCTGCTGTCGTGGGGTGCACTCACTCACGTGTCTGGGCCGCCTGCCTGTGCCGATGAGAGGGGCCTCAGCTGGGGTGACGGGGGCTCTGAGCTCTGCTCCGTGTGTCCTGGTCTGCCAGGAGGTGCCAGGGCGGGCGAGGAGGGTCGCCCTGCTCTGTGCCAGCCTCTGCTGGTGTCTGGCCTGCTGCTGCCCCGTTAGGGAAATAAAGCGAGTCATGCAGCCCAGATTCAAGGGGTGGGGGGGAGAGACCAGACCGCCTGCTTGGTGAGGGGGCTGCCAGGCCCAGGACAAGGGGTGCAGGTGCGGGGAGGGGCGGAGGATGGGCTGGGAACGCCGTCCTGCTCCCACAGTGGCTTGGCCCCAGCGCCTCACGCACACTCGGAAGCCCCCGCGAGCGTGAAAACCCGGCTGTGGCGGCCGCTCACCCCCATCTCCCGCCCCCCCCCCGCCCCCCAGCAGCTCTCTGCAAGTCCCCTGCACTTAACGGAGAATGTTTGTCCTATGAGTTCTCCCTCCTGAACTCCCCCGGCGCTGGCCCTCGGCCTCCGGTGGCCTTCTCCCCAAGCCCACTCACTCCTGCTCGCCCTCCGGGTCCACTCAGGGGCCTCCTCGCTGAGGAAGCCGTCCCTGGGGACGGCCTCGGGCCTCGCCGATGCCGATGCCGTGGCCGTCGTAAGCGCCTGACTGCGTTGCAGTTATCGTCTCGTTCACATCTGTTGAGAAACAGTTCCCATACCATACAGTTCATCCTCTTAATGTACGTCGTTCAGTGCTCTTAATATAGGCGCAGAAGTGCAGCCTTCACCACCGTCTAAGTTGAGAGCCCTCCGTCGCCCCAGAAAGAAACCACACCCGCTGCCAGCCACTCCCCGTTCCCCACTCTCCCCCAGCGCTGGGCAGCCACTCGTTTCCTCGGCAGATTTATGGGCATTTTATATAAATGGAACCTGTGGTCTTCTGTGGGTGCCTTGTTTTACTTAACACAGTGTCTTCAAGGTTCGTCCATATACATCGTCCATGTAACATATATCACGACTTCATTCCCTTTAACTGCTGCATAATATTCCGTTGCTTGGCTACAATACATCGCATTTTATTAACCCATTCATCAGTTGATGGACATTTGAGTTCTCTCCGCTTTTTGATTATTACAAATAATGCTGCTGTGAACGTGAGTACAAGTCTTTTGTGGACATAAGTTTTCGTTTCTTTTGGGTGTAAACCTAGGAGTGGAAGTGCTGGGTCATATGCTAGCTCCATATTTAACCATTTCAGAAACTGCCAGACTCTTCCGAAACAACTGTGCCACCCTCTCACTAACGTTTGTCAGCCGTTGTTTCTGACCCAGCCCATCCTGATGGGTGTGAAGTGGTGTCTTATTTACTGTGGTTTTGATTTGCATTCCCCTAAAGGCTACCGGTGCTGAGCATCTTGTCATATACTTACTGTTTGTATATCTTCTTTGGAGAAATGTCTATTCCAATTCTTCATTCGTTTATTAATTAAATTGTCTTTTTGTTGAATTTTTAGAGGTTTTTAAATAAATTTTGCATCCAAGTTGCTTACCAAATATATGATTTATAAATATTTTCTCCCATCTTCCATATTTGCAATACCTCTCATCTTTATTTTGTGGGTGGTCTAATCCCTTTCTTGGTTGTAGCATTTACAGCACAGAAGTTTTTAATTTCAAGGTGGTTCAGTTTCTCTATTTTTTTTTCTTTTGTTGCTTATACTTTTGGTATGATCTAAGGAACCATTGTCTGATCTGAGGTCACCAAGATTTACCTCAGTATTTTCTTCTGAGAGTTTTATAGTTTTAGCTTCTCCATTTAGATCTATGGTCCATTTTGAGTTAATTTTTACATATGGGGGGGTAATTGTCTCTTAGGCATATAACCCCCACCAGACTACTCTCTCTGAAGACAAGGACTGTTCTTAGTCTTCCTTGACCCGCAGTGTTTACACAAGGAGCTCTGCTGATGGCGTCAAACCGTGTGGGCTTGAGAGCCTCGAGAGCTGGCTAGTGAATGCGGCTTTATACCCTGGCAGCCTGCACCAAAGGGCACCCGCCCTCCACATTCTGTGAGGGTTGTGGCTTTGTTTACTGCTGTATTTATTGCTGGTAGGTAGTTGAGGGTATTGCCCCTTCTTCCATGTGACAAGATATTTGTTGAACTCTCCTCTAAGTGCCGGGCTCTGCGCTGGCCTTCCGGGCCTCGCGCGCAGCATCCTTTTCACTACCTGGGCTTCCTTGGGGGCTTGTGCTTGTTTCGTGGAGACTGATACATGGCTCCTGGATGTCCGCGTTGACGTTGTCTGCCAGAAGCTTTTAATGCTACTTCTAAAGCGCGGGCATCACCTCGTGTCATTTGTTTTAATACTGCTCTCTTTTTATTCTGTTTTCTTTAACTCCTTAGCATTCTTTTATTTTATCTTCTTAAATTATATATATTATTGAAGCTACCTTAAGTATTTATTTTGGAACAAAGCTGAGGTTTTTAAAAAAAAGTACAGAAACCAACTTTTCTCTATTTGAGAAAAAGATCATCAGAAAGTGTTTATAATTGTATCTATAATTTGGCACATATAGACAATGCCGTTGTGTATGAGCTGTTTCTTCTTCTAGTCTCACGTTTGAAGGAAAAGGCATCAGATCACCCTTGTTCACAGGGCCAGGGCAAGTGCACACCAGCTGGCCTGGCCAGCGTTCGGAGGCGGCCGTGACATCGCAGGGCCGTCAGTCCAAAGAGCAGCGTTGTTTGTGGGTGGGCTGTGAGAGTGTGTGTTTATGATACTTTGAGCCCTTTGATACCTGGAGTCCTCTAGGTAGTTCCTGCCAAGTTGGCTCTCATGCCCCAGCGTAACCTTTGATAGCACATCATCTCCTGGCCAAATCGTTGGATCCAAGGCAAAGTCATCGGCTAAGAATAGAAGCACAGGAAAGGCGAGAAACGAGGCTGGTGTGGCTGCCAGCCGCGGGTGGGTCCCTGCCTGTGGATCCTGGTCACCGCGGTAGAAGTGACCCAGCGAGAATAAACGTTCCCTGCGGAGGGCGGGCCCGGCCGTCACCTCAGTCATTGCGAGGACTCTGTGAGTGCAGGGTCAGCGAGGCCAGAGCGAGGGCGGAGTGAGGAGGGCGTTTCCCCGCTAGAGGGCCTGTCACTGGACTGCCATTGACCTCTGCGTCTCAAGGCTGTGGAGGCCACGCTCCCACTGCCCCAGGACTCGGGTCCTTAAGGACCCGCCTGGCCAGCGAGCACCCCTCGGAGGACGGAGGACGGAGGACGGAGGCCGGTGATGGCGGACACGAGTCTTTCCGAGACCGTGTCTCCGGGGACGCTCTTCGTTGGCCTCCCTGGCCCCGCAGGCCTCTGCCCCCGGAAGCCCGGCCGAGGCTGTTTCCTCCACAGTCCGACTCTGGTGGCCTGGGAACTTGTCCTAGTGCTTCAGACTGCGTTGCAGTCAGTGTACCACTGAAACCATGAGTTTCCTGAAAGAGAAGTATGGGACATTTAGCTGATGTTTCTAACAAGGCTCTTTATGGGGCAGTACATTCCAGGCTGCAACCAATCAATGTGTAAGTGGACTTCTGGGTTGTAGTGTAGTAATAGGGAAAGAGCTGCCCACGTTGGGAAGCGTTTTGCGGAATAAAACATGATTGACATGATTGACATGGTTTCAGGAAACCATGAGTTTCCTGAAAGAGAAGTATGGGACATTTAGCTGATGTTTCTAACAAGGCTCTTTATGGGGCAGTACATTCCAGGCTGCAACCAATCAATGTGTAAGTGGACTTCTGGGTTGTAGTGTAGTAATAGGGAAAGAGCTGCCCACGTTGGGAAGCGTTTTGCGGAATAAAACGTGAAAACACTAGAATAGCCTGGTGACTTGAAGTATCCATAGTGTGTGGATAAATGCTTTCTAAGTGGTGACGCTGAAAGGTTATTTGAGCGCTGGCAGGGTGGCTTGGTTGGTTAGAGCGTTGTCCCATGCACCAGAAGGTTCGCTTCCTGGTCAGGGCAATAGCTAGGCTGCAGGTTCAGTCCCCAGTCAGGGTGCATACAGCAGGCAACCGGTCAGTGTTTCTCTCCCTCCCTGGTATCCTCAGGTGACGATTTAAAAAAAAAAAGAAAGATGATATGAATTTAGTGTTTTTTATTCCTTTGTGGTCTCTCTCAAACACTGGTAAATTTCTACTCTGTCCCATCAAAATAATTGCAGAGTCAAAATTACTGAGTTTTTATATATACATTAAATTGTTTACTCATAGATTTATTTAAACATCCATCTCTAGGTGAATTTTCCTTTTCCCCATGCCTTCCAGCCTAGTACATCTTTGGTATTTTTCTTGCTCATTGGTGTGATTTTCCTTAGTCATTCATCCCAGGGGAGAAACGCACGTAGTCCGGTCGCCTTCTGCCTCACATCTCACGTGCAGCTGGACTCTCGGGCTTGTCCATTCTCATCTTCTAAAGTGTCCGTGTGTCTTTTTGTCATTCCCGCTATTTCCCATCATTGTCACTGCCTCTCGCCTGGGCTGTGCAAGGGAGATTTTAAGAGTTTCCCTTCCTCCTGTCTGGAGTTTTTAACATTAAGGGTTATAACCCATAACGGGCTATGAAGTCAGTTTAGTGATGATGACTGGAGTTGTTTTTAACAATACAATAAAATAAAATAGAAATATTAGAAATCTCAGAAAGTAAGGGCCTTTTTTGTTTAGGATTGCGTGTGTGTGCATGCGCGTGCCATGGATCATTATTACAATGTGTTCGTCATTGTAAGTCGCAGTCAGGAGAACGTGGAGGCCGGAGGTCTGGTCTACCACGTTCGTGTGCCCTGCTCCACACCCCTAATGCAGCTCTGTGCCCTTCAGAGTTACTGTTCCAGAACGAGCACCTCGTCCTCTCGCTGCCCTGCCTAGGAGCCTCCATTCGCTTCAGCCTGCCCTTGCAGGATGAGGCCCGCACTCCTGAACGTGGCTTCCGAGGCCCCTCGTGATTCGCACTGAAGACGCCTCGGGTGCTGTTCTCCCTGCCCTGACCCCATACGTCCACCTCGTCTCCGGCCACGTCACTCCTCCTTCTTTGGTCCAGACCCGCCTCCGTGCCGTCCCCCTGCCTGGCTCTTCCTGCTGCTTCAGTCCGTGAGGGGGGTGGTGGGCTTACCTCTGAAGGCCCAGGTCAGGTATCACTGGTTTTGGGAAGTCCTTCCCAAGCACCAGACATCCTGCTGTGCCATTGTCTGTTCTTGGTCTGTTTACCTGACAGGCTCTCCTCCTGCCTGGCTCGGTGAGGGCAGGCGGGAGCTGAGGCCACGTGTTGGGCGATGTGGTGCCCCCGCCTCGGCGGGGGCTGCGCCGCCGGCTGTGTGGGATGCGTTCTGCGGCGCCGGATCGGTGGGTAGGCTGGGACACCTCCACGGGTCTGACCTGCCAGGCTCCCTTGTCTTGTTCTTTGTTTGGGGTTTCTTTAAATTAATTTTTAAACATTTTTGTTGTTTTTAGAGAGAGAGAGATGAGGGGGGAGAGAGAAACACCGATTTGCTGTTTCTACTTATTTATGCATTCATTGGTTGATTCTCATATCTGTCCTGACCAGGGATTGAACCCCAACATTGGCGCATCGGGACGCCTCTCTAACCAGCTGAGCTACCCAGGTGGGGCTCCTTTGTTTTTTAAAGTAAATCTTCCTATTTATTTAAGTGCTTTCTGAAATGTTTTTAGATCTCAAAGACAGAATTAGATTGGTTCATCGAAGATTTGGAAAAGGAAATTAAAAAATGGCAACAGGAGAAAAGAGAAATGCAAGAAAGACTCAAAATACTGAAGAAGAAAATGAAAAGGATTTCACATGCCATTGAAGTGTAAGTAACGATTGAAAGGCATGGTTTTTATTATTGGGGTGGGGATGTTTTGGTTATTTTAACGTTTTTGATACTCAGATTCAAACTCTGTCGTAAAGTGTAAGTTTAGCTACTGTTTCATTTCATTTTAAACAATATCTGTTGGGGAATTATGTCACCTAAAACTTTCCCCAAACCTCCAGGTTTGCAGATTAATAAGGTAGGGCTGCATTAACAGAGAAGTACTTCTTTCCAGTCTGCACACCACCTCCACTGTGAACGTGACATGGGACCTTTTGCCTTATCTGAAGTGAAGGGGCTAGTCTAGATCTTAAGCTTCTCCTCAGCACTGAGATTCGGTGATGGTGAATTTATCTTGGGTTACTCTCATCCTGAATCCCTAAATCATTAAGTTTGGCCCTGTGGTGTGAAGGATTTGGAAATACATGTGGACATTACCGTTGTCAGATGGGCCAGTTGGTCGGAAGGTTCCCTATGATTGATTCCCGACCCGCTCCTCTTCTCTAAACAGTGATACGTCCAGAGATTTGCTCAGCTTATTTGTGACCTACCGCTGGCTAACAAGGCCCCTGAGCTCAGTGGCCTGGGCTCACAGCCACTTGACCGGATCGTGACCTTTTACTCCGGGCTGTGTGCAGCGAGGCCGTTCCCCCGCCGCCGCCAGCCACTCCAGCAGCTCCTCCGCTGGCCGCCTGTCCGGGGGCCGGGGTGCTGCGGGGCCTCGTTCTCTTCCTCACCATGTAGTTTCCAAGCTTGTCCCTCTCCGTGTCCTCTTCCCGCGGCTTCCATCTATGTGGTCTCTTCGCCCGGTACCCAGCATGGCAGCCAGCCTTCCCGCGTGGTGGCCGGGGGCTCTGGCAGCGCAGAAGCGGCAGCTGCCGGCCCGGGAAGGCCTGGGCCCCGAGCTGGGGGAGCCTCGCCGCCACCGCTCTCTGTGGCCCTGGGCGGTGGCAGGCCCCGCCCCGGTGGAAGGGCGCAGTCGCCTGGGCCCCACGCGTTCGGGCCCTTCCCTGCGCCACGGAGCCTCACGGGGTGGCTCTCGCTGTGAGGCCTGCCGCCTCCGCCGGGCCTTGCCGCGTGTGCTCGGTCACTGCATTAGGGCACATTCACAGGAATGACGCTGTCCCTAAGGCGCCTCACCTCTCCATGTTTGAGCAGGTCTGGCCTTACTCGTTATCTAAAAATTCAGATATATTTATACTTAATGTATATTTCCATACGCTCAGTTTAGGCATACCGTCCAATGAGACAATAAAGGAATCTGTTGGCGATGATAAAATATTTTTTCTCTGCTAGCATAAAAACTAACCATTTCTGCTGGGGAATAAATTTTTAAAAACATTTTTAACTTTATTTAATGAACAGGGTAGGCAAGAGGAGGTTTCCAGTTGTAAGTGCATGAAACAGTTTATTGTATTATTATTTATTTGTTGTATTTTTTCCATACAAACAACTATAAACATATTTTTGTTCATTCCTGTATTTCTTGGCCTTTTTCTGTCACCAGTGAAAGATAAGCCATAGGCTTCTCTATGTTTTTTACACTTTCCAAATAAATTCTTTATATTTAGATTCTAAAGTAAAACCTTAAATGTTTAGGTCTCCTAGAGAAGCTCAGGGGATATGAGGAATGATTTGATGTTTCCGCATCTCAGATCACACTTAGTATAAAAATGGGCGGGACGCAGGGAGCCCCGGGCTGGCGCAGCGGGCCAGCCAGGGGCAGCTGTGGAAGACGGTCCAGGCTCCCGAAGGAGCCGCGCAGAACCGAGCCCTCTCAGGACGGAGTTTACGAATGAGGGGAAATGGCATTTAAGCTGGTTCTCCGCGGAGCCTTGGTGTGTTCAGCGAGGACAGGCGACCAAAGAGTGTGTAGGAGAGCGTGGAAGGAGCAGTACAACTTACTCCGCACAGGGCAGTGCTCAGCCGTCAGGTTGACACACTCTGAGGGGTTGTCAGACCGCCTGTGTGAGCGTGTGCGCATGTGTTGGACTCTAAGTTCTACTTTAAAGAACAGAGGCTGTTTGCACTCTGCATGAGAACCACTGGGCATGCTGTGCTCCTCCCTGTCTCGTGTGGAGCCGCCCAGAGGTGCCCCTGGAAGTGGACTGAGACAGGGTGACCCACGCGGCAGGCGTATGACTTAGTGATCAAAGAATGGCCGAAGTCGGCGGTCTGCCCTCCGAGTGTAAAAGGAATACTTCCCGAAAGGAGAATGACCCAAATTCTTTGCCTATTTAGAAGCTACTAGAAATGACACAAAATGCAAAAACTTGTAAAGAACTCAATATCTGCATGTGTGGGTAGAATGTACCCTGGGATCAGGGTTTTTAAAAAAAAAAAAAACTTGGAAAATTAATTAAAATTTTGCTATTATGCTTTCATAGGTACGCCGAGAAAAGTGACAGGAGGGATAAGGAACCGGAATTCCTTCTGGATCAGTCCTTTGAAATCAGGCAAATTAAGCTTAAATTTATTTTCTCTATCTTATTATACTTTCATTACTAGAGGCACAAGCACACTACACTTCTAAATAGAGTGTTGCTTATCTGTGTTTCAAATGATTATGTTTTTCTTTCCTTTATTTTCCGTTTTATTCTTTAATATTAAATAGATTTATTCCTTAGTACTTTTATGTGATGTTTCTACTTTTATTTCATATAGTCAGTATTAAAAAATTCTGAATTTAGTGTTGAATATGCCTCTTTTCCCTTGAATTAATTTGAAACTAAATGTGTTTTTAAAAACTTCTTTCGTGTTAACGTGAAATGTCAGACTCAACTGTGTTATGGTAGTTTGCTGCTCTGTGATTATAGGTTCATTAAAGAATTTTTATTACGAACCTATAAAAAGTTTTCTTTTTGATCTTTAGCAATGGAAACAGTGTGTTCACATGCCGGTGAGCAGCCTGTCCGGTAGCCAGCAGCTGCCTTCTGCTTCTCAGATTGTTTCACAGACACCTTCCCACTCACGGCATGGTCCGCGGCCACCTTTCTCTTCGCTGTTACAACCGTGTTGCCACGGACAGCTTTGTATCGATCATTGTTTCCCCTGGGTCCTTTCCTCATGGCAGGGGTCCAGCTCGCACTGCTGACTCACAGGGCGAGGGATGCTCCCTAAAGCTTGTCAGCTGCTCTGGCGGATTCGCCCCCCGCGGCTGCTGGTGAAAACGGCGAGCCGCGCTCTCCGCGCTCCCATCAATGCCTTGCTCTCAGGTCCTTTTTTCCTTTGATTGTCTGCGAGGCGCAGGCGGCACCTGGGAGCATGGCGCGCAGTGTTTGGCAGGAGGTTACTGTGATGTCTTTTGGTGGCATGATTTCAAAGTTAACCTGGCTGTAGCCTTTGTAATCTCACTGGTTGAATTGTTTTCAGCAAGTGTTTTTTCTTTACTATTTGCAGTGATGCAATTGCAAATGAGAAAATGAAAATGGAAGAGAACATAAAGAAAGGGAAGGAGCATTATGAAGAGGTTCTTCAAAGAGCTGTGGCTGCAGAGGTGAGCCCAGGCCCGGGGTGACCGACGGCTGGGGCAGGCGGTCCTGGCTCTGTGTCGGATCCCGCCCGAGGCGCAGCAGCCCTGCCGGAAGGCGTGCCGCCCACGACGCCACCTCCGGGGCGGCCACTCCTCCTTGCCAGTAGCTTTTTTTTCCTTTCTAAAGATTTTACTTACTGATCTGTTAGAGAGAGGGGAAGGGAAAGAGACAGAGAAGGAGAGAAGCATTGTTGTGTGAGAAACAGTGGCCTCTCAAACGTCCCCAACCGGGGACCTGGCTTGCAACCCAGGCCTGTGCCCTGACCAGAAATCAAACCGGCGACCATCCGGTTCGCAGGCCAGCACCCAATCCATTGAGCCACAGCAGCCAAGGCTGTAGCTTTTTAATTGTTTACCCTTATGCTTAATTTGTATAATGTAGCTGTAACCTCCTTTCCTTATTTAACATTATAACTCAGTCATTTTTTTGTGCTCTCCACTTTGAATGGACGGCTTCATTACATTTAATCAAGATCTATATACCATGAAGTAGCCAACCATAAAACATATTTGCCAATACTAGAAGAGGAACTTGAAAATCATCCACTTACTATGACTATACTTTCTCCTCCCCCCGGAAGAGTACATGGCAGTGTGAGTGCACTGGGCGAGAAAGCAGTGAGCAAAACTCAAAACAACGCCCCCTGGCTCTGTATTGTTCAGTTCCGGAAACATGCTCGTCTTTGTCTAATTAAGAAGTAAATGTTGTTTATATGTGACTGTGGTTATTCTGGGAAAATTAAAAAAGGCTTAGCTTATACAGTCTGAAAACAAGAGTCTTCAGTGAGACACCGACCGTGCAGCTGCTTCTACGGAGAGGAAAGGAAAAGCAAGTACCTGTAGTCTGCGGGCGCTGTGCCCACGCCTGTGTCCCAGGGCTTGTCGGTGCTCGTGTGCTACCACCTGGCGAGCAGTTTGCTGGTGGGTCCCGTCAGGGTTCCTGACACCGGGGCTGAAACAGGCGATCCTGCGCGTCCTGCCAGGACGCTCACAGCGTGGCCGGGGGGCTTGTGGGGAAGCAGGAGAGCATACGGCTGTCGATGCCCGTGCTGAGAACAGCCTCTCTGCGACCTCTGAATCCAGCAGGACACACGGCCTCGGGTGGTTCTGTGGGCCCCGGCCCACTGTTCACCGCGGACAGGACCGAGGGTCACTGACGCCCACCAGGGGCATGCATGCACGTGGCCAGCCTCGCTCTGTAAGCACGTGGGGCGTGTCATATCTGAGAACAGCTTCACTTAAGGTCCCGTGTTTTGCTGTGGATGATGCAGTCCTGTGTATAATGTGCATCCACATTTTTGTGCACATTATACAGAGGATCGTGTAATCGTTGCATCCATGTATAAAGCGCACTGTTATTTTTCCCTAAAAAATGTGGGCAAAAAAGTGCACGTTGTACATGGAAGAATATGGTATATCATTTTACTGTCATTTTGTTATTCTAGTTTCAAATCTAAAAGGTCCAATTCATGTTCACCTGAGCGAACTGACAATGTAATCAAGGTCTGGTGATTTGGTCATTGTACATCATTTAGGAAGAAACTTCAGAGTGGGTTAGAAGGTTTAAGCTTCAGCAACTTTAAAGAGTTTTGGTTTTTCAGTTTTAAAGTGCTTAAACGCTCTCTGATCTAACCGTAGGTGTCCGTGCTTGAAAACGGGAAGGAGGCAGAAGTGTTCAAGCTGCGGGCTGTGGAGGCGCAGGCAGAAGGGCACCTGAAGAACCTGCGGCAGCCGGGCAGGTACGCTGCGGCCGTGGGCGCGCTTCCCCGTGCACTGTGTAGTCAGTAAGTGGCAGGTGGCTTGAGGAAAAAAAATTAGAGGCAGGGCCATTTTATTTTCAGTAGTTATACAATTAACACATGTCCAGTGGTAGAAAAGACAAAAATGATAAAGATTATCCATAATTCTAAATGGAGGCATAGTTAATATTTTGGAATAAATTCATTAACTATTTGAAAAAAGTGGAAATTTGTATTTTTCCCCACTAAGTACGGGAAACGTCCGCCTCCCCGACCGACGCTTAGCGTTGTCCTGCCTGCCGCGGGACGGCTGCGAGGGTGCCAGCACGCAGGCAGCTGCAGTGTCTAGTTCGTTATTTCTTCGTTTTTAAGAGTCAGGGTTTTTTCCCACCTGTGAGGATCTTTCTGACTGAAGGTGACCTGATGAGCCGAGTCGGGCTGCAGGACGTGGGCGGCTGCGGGGGCCTGCGGTGTCCAGGCTGTGCCTCGCGGCGTGCGGCGCGCCGCCTTCTCCCTGGCAGCATCCACGCCCTTAGTGTGCCCGTATCCTGGTACCCTGGCCTCTCCTCAGGGTTCTAAAGCTCTGCCCATTGCGCCAAAGAACAGGAAAAGACAAGGCATCAAAGGCGTATGCGGCGTTTCCCCTAGGGTGAACCCTGAGAGTTGGCACAGGCACAGATTTGAAAGTGTCTCTGATTTTCTCGGCGAAGGAGCAGAAAGCCCGAGTGTCGCTTTCAGGGGACCCTGTGCGGAGGTACTGAGATCAGCAGTCTCCTTGCTGACGCCAGGCCCCCCCTTTATTTTACGTAAGGTGGGAATTAGGGTTTATTGCAATGTTTCAAATGTTCCAGGGTGCCTTTTTTTCTTTAAATTCACAGACAGTGTATAATGCTAAACGTGATTGTCAAATGAAGTATGGCCAAATATTCGAGTTTGGGGAAAAAAGTTAAAATTCAGGAGAATATTTGCTCTCTGCCCACCAGTTTTGGGGTTGGGGTTAGGTCAGTTACTACAATTTCCTAACGTGCTTCTAGGGGTGTTTTTAGAATGTGCAGTTCTTAAAAAATGGGGTTTTTTGTGCGTGATCATGTGAAATATATCTTTCATGTTTAAAGGTTTTTTTCATGTGTACTTTAGTGCTTTCGATTTTAAAACTATTTTAAAGTGAACATAGGGCATTTTCATGTTTTCTTACTTCCTCAGTGACTCTGCAGAGCATCCTGAGCTGGAGTCTGAAGTGCGTGAGTGGGAGTCATTTCTTTCCAATGTGAGAAAAGAAGTTGAGAGAGCAGAGGTGAGTTGTGGAATAGCCTGGAATGCTCAGAATGTGCATGATGGTTCAGATTCCTTTTTTGAGGTGGTGAAGGCAATGTGTAATTTTTGTTGAAATTTTAGGAAGATTTTTCCTAGAGGTAATGATATTTTCTTAACTGTCCTAAACTCTGTCCTGATTTGAGAGATTGGAGCAGTTCTGTAGGGTCAGACTGCAGAGCATTCTAACCAATGAGGCCTCATTCTGAACTTCTTTCCTTACAAGCAAGAAATAATCATTTTAGCACCTTTTGTTTCATCTGTGTTTCTTGGAAAGCTGTTGGCTGTTTTTAATGCGGAATAGGAGAAACAGCAGTCATCGATGACTGCGGCTTTTCCCTTGGCATTGGTTAGAAACGCTGAACACCTTTCCTTCCTCCCGCAGTCCCAGTTTGAGGAACACATTAAGGCGGTTAAAAGTGGCTCTCGGCTCAGCGACCTCCCCAGGGTGCAGATTTCTGAGCTTCCGTTTCCTGCCTGTCGCACAGTAAGTCCGTCTGCCGTCGTCCTTTCGAAAGGAAGGGCATGCGTGATGGGCCACGGCTCCTTTCTGGACTGGCCCACGTGGTCGGAGGTGGTTGTCTTCTGGGAGTGGGGGCAGGGCAGATTAATACTTGCCTCAGTGTTTTCATTCTCCGTGCTGCTGGTTAACCTGTGAAGCCTTACAGCAAACATTCCAGTATAAATGGAAGACATTCCTCCTGCATCGGGGCCTGAGGAGAGGACTGGGCGACCCCACTGCTGGGCCAGGCCCCTTCCTTTGTGGGCGCTGGGGCGCGCGTGTTTTCCTGAGTTTGGTAGAGCGCTCCAGGTGCAGCAGTGTAAGCATATTCCTCAACGCTTAGAGGCGTAAGACCACAATTGGGAAGTTAAGGTTTGTTTTCTCATTAAATACGGAATCAAAACTATCAAAACTGCTCTATGTGAGACACACAAGGGTTTTGTTGGTCTGGCATATTGTATTTTACTGCTGGTGTGAGGTATATGCTGAACCTTCTGAATAACAGCGATTGCCAAACCTTGATTTTTTCATTTTAAAATATGCAACATGGTAAAGAAAAGCATTAAGTTTACTCTGTGGACTTTAAAATATGGCTTAACCTAGTATCACTTTATTCTGGCATATATATTATTTGGATATAGCAGATGTTCGGTAACTACTAAGTGGAAATGAATTAATCTCAAGGGAGATCGGATCATAAAAATTCAAAGAAGGACCCTGGCCAGTGTGGCTCAGTTGGTCGGGCATTGGCCCGCAAACCGGAGGTCGTGGGTCCAGTTCCCGGTGAGGGCACATGCCTGGGCTGCGGGCTCAGTCGTGTTCGCGGTGCGTACGAGAGGCAGCCCACCCATGGATGTTTCTCTCCCTGTCTTTACCCCTTTCTTCCCCTCTCTCTCTGCAGTCAATAAGCCTGTCCTCAGGTGAGGATAATAAAGAAAAAAGAACTTAAAGGCGGGGGGGAGGGGGCAGAGAACAGGGCCCGGAGGTATTCGGGAGGTGCAGCTGAGAAAGCTGTGCTGCCCGTGAGCTCGGGACTCCGCGGGCGCGCCCTGAGAGGGGAGGACAGGTCCCGACTGCCGTCAGGATGACGTGGCGCCAGAGGCGGAGCAGGGGAGGCCACTCTGCTGAGCCTCGTGTCGGAGACTCGAGTTGCAGTGGCCCAGCAGTCACCCGGGTGGGTCGCCCACCATGAAGTCTGGGCGTGCAGAGTTAGGTCTCAGGGAAGCAGTTTTTGAAAGGGGGGTGTTATTGGCAGCAGGCCCTCTGTCACTGAGGCCTGAGAGACTGAAATGGCCCGCGGTGGGGGGCAGGGGGTAGCATCCTAAGGAGCTTCAACACCTAAGGCCACGGCCACACCTGCAGGGAATGGGCCCCAGGGAGGGGGCAAAGGAGGAGGCCAGCAGCACACAGAACGAGAACGTGACTGGCAACGTCCAGGTGTCCCTGGGGCTTAGTGATGGAGACTGCGGTGACCTTGGCAAGGGCAGCTTCAGGAGTGTTGGAGCAGCTCTCGATTTGACAGGCCCAAAGTGCAGCTGGGAAGGGAGCGGGTTCGGGGAGAAGTGAGGGGCAGTGCTCCAACCCTCACAGGAACTTTAGAGAGAGTTACATAGGAGGCAGAGGCCAATCCTTTTCTAACAGTGAACAGGTTATGTTGCAGTCATTCATTTTCTTAAACAAAAACCATTAGTTGTATTCAAGTTTCCTGTGCACTTGAGCACCGGGTTTTGCTGTGGCCCTGCCTCGTTGCCAGTCTTTGTCCATGGACGCCCCTCTGAGCGCTGCTGTGCTGTGCTCCTTGCAGGTGCGCCCTGAGTCACTTCCGGAGGCTCCTGGGACTGAGGACCCTGCAAGTCACGGGCCCGGAGGCCAAAAGGCAGTTCCCAAGGATGCAGGTCTGGTCTCCGCCAGCAACCGCCCAGCAGGGGCTCCCTCTGCACCACAGCCAACGTCGCCCTCCGGGCAGCCGAACGCCACCCCGCTGCCGGCGGGCACAGGCGCCGTCCGGGCGGCCCAGTCAACCCAGAGGCATGCCGCGGGTCCGAAGCTGCCAGCTCCCGCCGCCCGTGCCGCGCGGCCCAGCCAGTCTCCCAAAAAGCCGTTCAACACTCTCATCGGGCACCTGTCGGTGGTGTTCCCCTGCTACAGCAGGTACGAGCGCACAGTGGGGCTCCGTTAAAACGTCCATTGGCCTGAGGTTTCCTGATCAGACAATTGGGGGCTGAGGTGGAACGGACTGCATAATTGTTTCATTCAGAAAGACAAGGGCTGTTTTCCTTTTGTAAGCAATAAAGGTGAGCATTGTCAAATACGTTATTTAATGTGTGTATCTAGATTGAGAACTTCGAACACAGCAGAACCTGTGACAGTTTACTGAGCTATTGAAGAGACCAGTAACGTGCTGCAGCACTAGTTACGGCATCACTGAGTGAGCTGCAAGGCAGCAGTTCTATATTGTTTGGAAACCGTGAGGCATATGAGAGAAGGCGGCAGAGGCTCACACGCGGAGGGCCAGCACCTCCGGCTGTAGAGGTGTGGGGTTGGAAAGACGGGGTGTGGGGGCAGGTTCCGAAGGGAGCCCCGGGCCAGGGGTCAGAGGGGCGCTTCTGCCTGTCAGCCCAGTTCCCAGTCCGCACGCAGGGCTGCCCTTTGGCCGCGGCCTTGTTCCTGGGGTTGGGGCGAGGGGCAGAGGTGCTCCTGGTGTCCAGTGAAGGGGGCAGTGTGTCGGGGCTGCAGCCAGGGAGGCAGGGCTCCCCGGCCAGGAACAGCGCTCGGCCGTCAATCCACGTCCACCGGCGCAGACCTTGGACGTGCAGGGCCCTGCGACCCTTGCTGTGGGTGAGGTCCTCAAGGGAGGCAGTCAGCAAACTAGGTTCCTCGTAGATAGAGATTGCCCTGGTTTCAAGTCAGAACCAGTGGTGTCTGGTCGTTGGTGACGTCGCGTGAGTGGCTATAGGAAGACAGGTGTCTGCTGTCCCGAATGGGTCCAGCAGGTACACGGGCGATACACGTATATGTGTGAATGCGTGTATACATATACACACACACATATAAAAATGTGAAATTCTGTTGGGATGCGTATTTACAAACAATATAGGAATTGTCATAACTAGTTGGAAAGAATGATTCTGCTATTTTATATACAGTTACTATTGTTGTATACAAATTTATGTGTGTGTGTATTTGTTTCTCTTAGCTGTTGGATTGGTATTGTCACATAATAGGTCCTTTTTTGGCACATATAATACTTCTCGGCAGTAGAAGGCTTTGGCTTCTGCTGTCATTTCTCCCTTCTTTCCCTTTCAGCACCGAGCTGGCTGGTTTAATTAAAAAAGTGCGAAGCAAAAGCAAGAACTCGCTCGCAGGACTGAGTGTTGATGAAATTGTCCAGAGAGTGACGAGACACGTTCTGGATGAACAGGAAAACCAAAAGGTCAGTGTTTCATCCAGAAACAGCAAAATGCTCTACTTCACCATTATCTGGTTATAAAATGTGAGAATCGTAAAAAACAAAAACAGGCTTACAACCAAAATGTGGAGAGCAGTTTGCTAAAGACAAGACGGCCGAGCCTCTGGGTAGCTGACCCTTCTTCCCCACCCGCGCTCTCTCTGCAGCCGAGTGCAGGGCAGGACGGGAGGTGGCGTGAGCCCCGCCCCGTGGCTGTGACGGCTGTGCCTCCACCCAGAACCGAGGGGCAGAGGATGGAAGACGTGCCCGTGAGTGTTGCATGTGTGACCAGAGAGTCGGGGCGGAGGGTGGTGTGGTTTATTTTTTTTTTAAGAACAAGAAGGAAATCCATGACTTAGCCCCATTCTTCTCATTTCTAGACCTAATTCATTACCCCCTTAGAACAGTCAGTGAACAGCGGGGTTGTGGTCTCTGCTTTCCGGGCTCCCGGGGCCCCGCGGCGAGAAGCCCCTGGCATGACGGGAAGGAGCCCCCGCCCACCACACTGCCGGAGCCGGGCCCCCGGGCAGGCACCTACGTCCGTCGTCCACCGAGTGTGGCGTTCCGAATAGTTGGGAAGGACGATTTTTGCTTAACTGTCTCCTGTGTGACCAGGGGCTTTGGAATCACACAGACTCGGCCCCGTCACAGAGAAGCACTGAGCGCGGATCCTGTGTGCTGTCCAGTTGTTGTCGGAGCAGAGCTGCTGCACAGTTACAGGAACCCCAGCAGCAGCTCAGGCCTCCAGGCCTCCCGACCCTGCCCCAGCCCCGCTCCCGACCACGGCTGCGGCTGCAGGCCTTCCCTCCGCCCCGCCCGCCACCGGACAGCTGGTGAGCTGGTTCAGGGCCTCCTGTGCCTTGCCGGCTGCGGAGGATGCAGATAAGCAAGGCTCACGTCCTGCCTTCAGGGCGCTCAGACGGGGGTGCGAGGCAGGCGCAGTGAGTGGTGCCGAGGGGTGGGCGCTGGGAGCGGCAGGCGGACCTCCCCATGGTGCCGGGTCCCCGGGGGCCCTGGGCCCCGCCTCCCGTGCAAACACCTCTGAGCAGGCCACCCCGCTGGCCACCGCTGCCCCGGCGCCCCGCCCCTCCGCCCCTGACCTCCGGAGCCTGCTGACACGGACGGCTGGAGGGGCCCTGTGCGCTTTGCTTGATTTGTCCCAGTCGTCCACGTTCATAGACACTTCGGAAAATAGAAAACCAAACCTCTCTCAAGGGAAAGTAACCGTTTACCATTTTATCTTTCCCGACGCCTTTCTAGGCGTCTCTGTATATATTTCCCTTTGTTTTTTAAAATACGAATTATACAGTCATGGGATGCATACTGTCTTGTCACCTGCTCTTGGTCAGAGGGCTGTTGTGAGCAGCTTTTACATCAGGGACTATGAACTTCCATTCAGATTTTACTCGGTCACACAGTTGTCCATAGTGTAGATGTGACGAAAGCTTAGGTGACTGTCCCCAGCTATTAGAGAATTAGCTGAATGATTAATTTGTGATATTCAGTTAGTTCCATATTTAAGTATGGGATGCGATAAACAGACATTTGTGTATTTTACCAGGAAATCTGTTAACCATATAAAACTTTTTTCTCTGAGAAAATTAGAATTTTAAAAGTATACTTTTCTTTTTGCACTTTTATATTTTTTCCTAAGAAATGTTATTTAAAAGTCAGTTGTTTCTTTAGTCTGCTTAGCTGTGATTGGGAGTGATTTGCCACTTCAGTGGCAAAGGCGTTTGAAGGCCTCCTGTAGGAAGAGTCTGTGATAAAGAGGAATTTACGGGAATCAACCCTGATTTATTACGCGGCTGCGTTTGTGTCCGCAGGCATCGAGCGCACATCGCTGTGAAATGTGCCACGGGGTGATCAAAGCCAGAAACATGCGTGAGCTGAGGTGTGGGCACAAGTTGCACAAAGGGGTAAGCGCTCTCCTTGGCGGCCCTCACCGCGCATCTAGACTATGAAGTAGTTTGAAAACAAAAGGGACTTTTTCCCTGGGTGTCGAAGGTTTTCAAAGCACTTCCCCTGCCACCCTCGTGGGGTGTCACTGTTTCTGTTTCCCAGTCCCGGTGCTGGGAGCGGGGACGGGCCCTGGGCCATGCGCTGCGTGCTGCCTTCCTGCAGCACCTCGAGCCGGCGCCATGGGCTTCCCCGGCGAGGTTGGGGCTGACACCCCGAGCAGCGTCGGCGCCCCGACAGGTGACCTCACACACCCGTGAGCGAGGCGCAGGCTGGCCAGTTTAGTGCAGTGCATGAGTGAGCCTAACATTTCAGGGGAGAAAATCCAACCTTGCTGGTCCGTTGTGCCCAGTCCCAGCAGATTCCGGGATTGGGGGTCACTGTTTTGGCAGTTGCCCTGCACCCCATGCCAGGTTAGAAGAGATCGGGTCTCGGCCGTGGCAGCACGTGAATCCCTGAGAAAGAGGAAGATGAACACAGGGCGCCTCTGGGGGCGTCGAGACGGGCGTCTGCTGCTGGCCTGCCCGTTCCCGGTGCGCAGTGTCGTGCCCGGGCCCCCAGACCTCGCACACACCCAGCTCCGTGGTGGCAGCAGGCCGGCCGCTGGGGACCATGGTGGGCAGACAGGCTTCGGTCCAGACTGCAGGCGCAGGCTGGTGGGGTGTGCGGCAACCGAGGTCCGGCGGGCGGGACGAACCGGATGAGTGAGTCCGAGGACCAAGACAGCACCGGCCTCGAGAAGTCAGGGCACGAAGTGGAGCCGGGGTGGGCTGGCGGGGGTGCTAGAGGCACCCCCAGCCGGGTCAGGGGCCCAGAGCCCGTGGGCAGGCTCTGAGTGGCACCCCCCCCCCCCCCCCCGCCGGGGCCCCGTCCGCACTCCTGGCCTGAGCACCGGCATCCTGGGCGTGGAGCCGCTCGCTTCGAGGCAAAGCGCCGAGTCTCCTGCGGAGCTGCTGGGCACACAAGCCCCTCGTGCTCCTGAAGACACTGACCGGTTTCATTTTCTCTTTTCCAGTGCTTCCAGAAGGGTCTGAAAGGCCAGGGCACCTGCCCAGCCTGCCGCAAACGGGACCTCTTGTCGGAAGAGCGGCCTGCACCTTCTGGAAAAGGCCGCCTGCTGTCTTAGAGGGTCACGGCCCCAGAGGGTAATTGGCCGATTGCTGAATTGGAAGGAAAACATTACACAGCCTTCAGTGTCAAAGGCAAGCATCTGAAGACTCTGCACTGTGTCGCAGTGCTAATAAATGGAAATCTTCACGTAGCTGATAGGAACTGCCACACTGGTTCAACACTTTGGTAACAGCCAGGTGCTACTGGAATTGGTGTGACCGCCTCCCCGCGCGGGGCCTCCGCTGAGCCCAAGACGGCAGGCTCCTGCCGGGAAGCATAGGGGCGCCTCTGTACCGGAGTCCTTGACCTGAAAGGGCCCAGGTTGAAATTTTTCAAGAGTCAATATTCCTGAAAATATGCCAACATTCTTCCTCAAAGTTTCTGCATTTAAATAATGGGCTTAAGCCAACCACATTTTAATCATTCGTATTTGATGTTAAAATATTGGCTGAATTCGACCAAGATTCAAATCCCTTCATGTGACACATTGTGTGATTTTGATTGTTCGTTTTATTTCCTGAAAGTAGATTTGTAAAGTGCTTATTTGTCGTCTTATAGAGATAGAATCTGATTTTTGAAAATTGATTACAGACCACTTTCTTGTATCAAGACTATCTACTCCTGAAATCAAGGCTCCATATTCATATCCCAACCTCACATTTGAAACCTGTTTTGCACTCCCTCACCGTTCTCCTGAGTGGCGCTTGTGCTGCTTCATGATTAGACGATGGTGTTTGGGCACCAGTAGCTCGCAGCAGGCACCACGGGGAATGGTCACCATCAGTCCCCTCCCTCCTCCCACCACGAGAAATAGACTCTCGTGTGATAGACAATCCCACGGTGTCCCTGTCACATGCGTTCCATGTATGATGTTCGTGTGAAGTAACGCATGCACTCTTGTACTGTGGCCTTCTAACGATAGTAGAACCTTTAAAAAATCATTCTCTTTAGTGACTTATACACAGTGGCAAATGCAGAAACACGAATTCTCGACGCATTCCATTCCTCTCAGACAGGAAGGATCAGTAAATGTTCTTCAGTGTTCTTTGTGCCCCTGGACGCTCCCAGTCCCAAGTTTAGGAGCCGATCTGGCTGCCCTCCTCTGCCTTGTTCCCGTGAGTTTTGGTGTCCTGGTGACCTAGTCCATAGACGCTTATCCCTGCTTTGCCGCCGATTCTCCACGCGGGTCCGTGAAGCAGCATCTGCACGTTCCCAGTGACTGAGGACTGTAGACGTCAGGATGCGCGGGGACCAGCTCACAGCAGCACGTACAGGGGAAGCAGAGCAGCTGGGACGTGAGGGAACGTGTTTTGTACATAACTTCAGGCTTGTGAACCTGCCTTACACATGTCCTGTGCGTATCAAAATAAAGAGTATTTTTAAATGACATCAGTCCACTGGCGTGCTTGTCCATTCTGTGTGAAATAACGTTGAAAAAGATTCTACTGGAAATGCAAGACGCCTGTGTTCTGCTCACGTTTTTAAAAGCGATGCCATCAGGAAAGAATCAGGTTATGCCTGGGGAGTCTGACCGAGGGTCTCGGGATATTTCAGAGTCTGGGCCCAAATGGTCCTTTGTGTTCCCAAGACTGGCTCTTTAAATTTATGAGTGGAAAATGTACACAGAGATGACAGTTTCCTGTTTTAGGCAAACGTAACATTTTTCATATGAATACATATAATGTGAAATTCATTCAGTTGCATTCCTCAGTATTGATTTTTTTTTTTTTTGAGGTGCTTGTGGACTTGTGGACCACAGAGGGCAACCCTTGAGGTTTCCCGTTTTGAGGACCTGCGTGTGCAGATCACTTAATGGTTAGATTAAAGAAAACCAATATTGCTATATGTTCTTAATCTGATCGCATGTCATTCAAAATAATGTATAACTTAAAGCAATGCCTGTTTCTAAGAGTTTAGATTATTTTCCCTGCCAAACAGCTTAATCTATGCTACAAATAATGGATAATCCAATGTAAAATGACATTGTTTCCTAGCAATGCAAAATGTTACTACATTTTTTAAAAGATTATTTATTTTTAGACAGAGGGGAAGGGAGGGAGAAAGAGAGGGAGAGAAACATCAATGTGTGGTTGCCTCCTGTGCCCGCCCTACTGGGGACCTGGCCCGCAACTCAGGCATGTTGCCCTGACGGAATCGAACCAGCAACCCTTTGGTTTGCAGGCCGTTGCTCAATCCACTGAGCCACACCAGCCCAGGGCTATTACTGCATTTTTAAGGTCATTTCAAAGCCTATAGAGGGAGGCAGGTGGGCAAAGTGATCAGCCATCTGCAAAACTGAAGTGATGAACTAGCTTAGGTTTTCGGTCAGATGACCCTCTCTGGAGAAATGGATTAAAGGAAACAGAAGAGACAGTAACAAAGATAGAAATGTCTCTCATCAACAGAAGATGCTTGCTGATGAGGCTGATAAAAAGCAAAGACAGCAAAGTGGATTCTTGTCAGAGCCAGGACCAAAAACATCTCCAGGAGGACCCTTCTTTATTTTCTCCTCCTCATTCTGACTCGATCTACTGGGAGGGGGAGGTATCTGCCCTAATGTCACCAAATGCCTTAAGTGCTTTGTTCAGAATGATGGGCAAGACCTGGAAATCAATGAAAACAAATGTATATAGAGCACCTACTATGTGTACTCAGGAGGTGTTTTGATACAGCAGTGAATGAGAGACAAGGACCCTGTGAAGCTTGCCTTCCTGTTGAGTAGACAATAAACGTGCACACAATTTTAGGTGGTGAGAAGGGCTTTGAAGCAGCAGCAAGAGAGGGAGGTAGATTAATAGTAAAATTCTTGCAGTGTTTAGCATAGTACTGAGCACACAAACCCCTGGTAAGGGGGAACTAGTGACTGGTGTCGAGATGGAGGCCTGGAAGTTGCACAGGGGGAGTTTGGTGGCCTTGAAGAAGAAGGCAGGATTAGATTAAGAAGTAGATCTCGTCCGCGTCGCCCCGACAAGAACGTTATTAAGTGGAGGAAAGAGCAAGAAGAAATCAAGTCACCTCAGTCATTCTACAAAACCACAGTTTCTGAAATTGGGGGGACGTTGTGATCTACAGCACAAGAAAACATCAGATAAGGCTTCTGCAGGTGGATGAGCGGCTTTGAGGCAGCCTGTCCAGCCCGCTTGGCCCGAGACCGGAGCTGCGTGGTCAGCTCTCTGGAGGTCTGCGCTCAGCGCCTCGAGAGGGTGCGTGAGCCCAGCGCCCCGTTTGGGGTGAGGACTGTTCTCAGTCTCCCCATCATTGCCACCAGGTTATGCTCTCCCTTCCAATCTCCCCTTTAAAAGTGACAGAAATGGGGAACAATGTTATTTTGCAAAAATGTAGAAATTAAATAGCACTAGTCAACTACAAAATCCTAATGAGACAGCTGTCAATAGTCTGAAAATAAAAGTTTTTAACTACGCTAAGAATTACGGGGGACTCCAGCCCATGAAGTCCCTGGATTCACTGCAGATGGAAAAATGAGTCGTTCCAGACACCTTTTGCCTGTCAAGGGAAGGGGAAGGCGATTCTAAAGGAGAACGCCCCGAACCCCTGTGCTCAATGGCTTTTATTGAGAGGGTTACAGCGGGGGACAGGTAGCAGGAATGTATAGGTAATCTAATTACATCAGTAGTTTAAGCTTACAGAGAATAGGTGATGTTTAAAGAAGACAATGGCAAGAATACACCGAATTTCTTGGGTCCAAGATGAGCAAACATTACGGCGCCAGGTGGGATATGGGTCAGGGTCCAGGAATTTTGTAAATTTCTTTCCCAGCTTTGAGCTGATCATCTGGTATAAGATTAACAGAGTTTGAAGGAGAAACAAAGCCTGCTTCAAGCAGTGTAATTTATTTCTAGGCCTGATTTCCCCCGGGGGACCTCGGAGTTAGTATCGTTGGGTCCTGCCCATCTACCGCGTTACCAGTGTTCTGCCCACAGCTCCCGGGGCCTCTCCCAGGCCCCAGCCTGCGTGAGACTACAGTCCCTGATACCACGCAAAGCGGCCCCCTGCAATGAATAATAGTTCGGAATATACAAATGGAAAAAAAAATGAACTGTGACCTCACATCCTACATAAACATGAAGTCCGAAGGGATCGTGGTCCTGAGTATGAAAAGTAAAGTAGTAAGCTCCCACAAAAAACAATCTTGGCCTTGGACTAGGCAAAGATTTATTAGAATGCAAAAAGCACTAACCATAAGGATAAAAATCTAATAAATTGATTATCATTACAATTAAAAGCTAAAGTTACCATCGAGAGAGTATAAAATCAAGCTGTGAAGTAAATCTAGCAAAGAATTCTAGAAACAACTGTTACATATCTATAAGAAAAAAATATATTTAGAAACGAGCAAAAGATTTGAATAGGCACTTCACAGGTATCCAGATGGTTAATTGGCATTTGACAGCCAAGTGTGTTCAGTTTCCATCATCAGGGAAAACAAAACCGCAGCAAGATGCCACTAGGTGTCCACCTGGGTGGCTAAAATAGCAAAAGACTGGCAGTACCGGTGTCAGGATATGGAGCGACTGGGACTGTCCTGCACTTCAGATGGCAGGGGGAGTTGGCACAACCTTGCTGAGAGCATTTGCTAGCACTGCCACCGTAGTGTCCCTGCAATGCGGCCTTACTGCCACACACGCACTTAACAGGCGTGCGTGCAGTAGTGCAGGAGTCTTCATACCAGCTTCCTTCCTGGTCATAGCCTCCAACCAGGAACAAGCCAAACGCCTGTCCACAGTGGAGCGGACAGACCGGCCGCGCCGCCTGGACAGGGGGATCCTCCCACACACGGCTCAGTGGGCGCACAGACATGAGTGTGAGCAAGAGCAGCCAGGTAACACAGAAGCCCGTTTAGGTGACTTGCCAGGACAGGACGCTGGTGAGGGAGGTTGGAGTCGCGGTTGCCTCTGAGCTGTTGCTGCAGACAAGGAGGGGCCCCAGGTGGCCCACCGGGGCTCTGGAAATGTTCCGTATCTTCAGCAGAGTGATGCTCTGCTGACTGCATCGTTGGGGAAAGTCAGAGAGCTGTACATTTAAAGTGTGTGCACTTTTTTGTACTTAAACTGTTTGCATTAAGACTAAACAACAAAAGGAAAAAAGGAAAAAAATGAGAAACCTGGGTCCAGGAGACGCCGTAGTCCCCGCGGTCCCCGCGAGGATCTGGCGAAGCTCGTCTAGCACCTGCACACACAGTCCTCGGCTGTGAGGCCAGGTTCCCGTGGGAGGCCGTGTCCGCCGCAGGCGCCCCCCCGCGGACCAGGCCTCCCTCCTGGGCTTCTGGCCCCGCACGCCCCCCCACCCCACCCCAGGCAGTGGCCTCAGCTGGGCAGCGATGCTTCAGGAAGCGGCTCTGCAGGGCGCTGAAGAACGTGAGCCTGGTGCCAAACACTAGCACTGCCAAATCCAGAGGAAAAAGCCAAGGAGCAAGGTGGGGAGGGGCCACGGGCTGCCTCGGAGGCGCCTGCTGGCCTGGCCAGGGGGACCCTCCACTTTGCAAGGACCGGTGTGGCCGTGGCCCTTGTCTGGGCGGGGTCTGCAGTGCCAGAGTGGCTCCCACTGCCCCAGACACAAGGACCCATATTCAACTTCCGATGATTTTTGCTGGTTCAACACAACGATTGAAAACTGAATTATATAAACTTAAATTATGTAAAAAGCAAAGGCAGTTGCTTCCCATCAGAGTTTACTGTTGTCTGTGCTTAGGGGGTGACCTGTATTGTGGAAATGCTGTATGATGGGTCTTCGTGCAACTCTTCCCGACTCTGATAGATGGCGCGAGAGTTTACACCACAGGCATTGGCAAATGCAACAGGTCAAGGCTCCCCTACTCCCAGTACTGCCCTCCACCCCCAGAGGAACAGCTTGTCTGACGGCGCTGAAGGAGCCTTTATGCCTGTCTCATTTCACATGTCACGTGGTGGTTAGGGGCCTTCTGGGGTGATTTCTGCTGAACGAGCTCTTTCCCGCTGCTGTTTGGCGAGGGCCCTGCTCTCGCTGCTCCAGGCACCCTCTGCCCCCGAGCCTGGGCACCATCCTGGCTCTGTTTCCCTTTCTCTGCCCCGTGGAAGGAAGACACTGCAGTGCCCGGGCACACGGCCCTCAGTAGCTCCTGCTCAGTACCTCCCTGCAGCAGCCTTGCCCCCTGCATGCCTGGCCCTGCTGCAGGTCATAGGCGAGGACCCGGTAGGCATGCCTCGTGCCTCTGTCGGGCCCTGCGTCAGCAGCACGCAGGTAACCCAGGGCAGGTGTGCTTCAGGCGCGCCAGCCGGAAGCTGCTCGAGGCCCCCGCCAGGCCGGAGGCCCCTCTTCTTACCTCCCTGGAGGGAGGACAGGCTGGAGACGGGGCCAGGCTGACCTGGCCGGGAGCCTTCGCAGCA